TGAGACTCAATATATTTCGTTCCCAGTTGGAGGGGCCATAAATGCACACTCTCAGGTAGTCCCGTACTTCTAATTTTTCGATTTTGGTCTAACTAAAATCCGTTCACTATTCAAGAACTCAACAAATCCACTTGAACTTGTGTATCAATTTTGTTACTTTTAAAATGGTTACGAGTTTTTCTGTGAGTTAGTCAAAGAAAATCAATTCTTAACCTATCTATAACAGTCAATACACTGATTATTTATTGGCCGACTGACAACTGTTCTGGAAGTATTTCTGCCGAACAAATAATCTGTCGATTTAATTCAATTAGATTAGGCATGAATCTCTCCTGTGTGGATAGTTATATTACTTTGTCACACAATTAATTGAATAAAAACTTTCAGAAAACAATGCATTAATATGGATAACAATGTAGATTATTCATCACACTTATCTTTCGAACAGCTTCATTAAATTTCACATTTGGTGTAAAAAATTTCAGTAAAATGACAATACCACACGTGGCAATGTAATTCATGCATTTATCTATTTATTTCATAGATTCTCTTTATAGATCCTTACAATTTAGAAACAATATTATCAACTGCTTAAAAACAAAACGATGGACAGTCTTTATGTATGAGAGAGGTCTTGATTTAAGTCGAGTTCAGCATCTAAATGTAGATTGATAAGAGACAATTATTGTGAAAGAATTAAGAAAATATTCAAACAACTATCAGTATGGAATTGTGGAGATTGTTGAGTTTTGATTGATATCATGAGTCTATCAATGTTAGACCACCATCGAATACCTGAAGCACTGGGTACTGTTTCGTCCTATTACGAAACTCCTCAGAAGTGCGCATCCATGATACAACATTCGCGATTCTAACCCAAAACCTTCAGTTTCGTGCTCGACTGCTTAACCTCTAGACCACTGATCTGGCACCTAACAGTGCTAATATCTAACCTCAATCCACGATACTGCACTACCATCTTCTATTGTCTTCGGTGGGTAACTGCCTTACATCCGGCACGGATTACCTTCTTTTATGTCCACTGACATTTTCATGAGTTATGACAAAGGTGTCTGATTCTTGAATAGTTTTGCAGATAGATGGTAAACTGACTATCCCTTTTGTCAATATATTATCATGTTTGACCCATAAAATCTGTTTCGATATTTTTAGGAGCCTTGAAGATGAGTTATTTCTTGTTAAGATGACTTTAGCTAACGCATTCATAGTGAAGTAATTATCTTATTTAATAAGATTTTAAATTAAATATCGATGATTAAGAAACGAATCTCATTCGTAATAACGTGTATTCCGTCATATCTTGAAGATGTTCTTGTACGTTTAGTAGAACTATTTTCAGTATTATGAAGTGAAAGACAGTGGTACATTAAAGACAGAGAAAGATCGGTGCACAATACTACAAATTAATTTGGATGTCGGACCAGTGGTCTAAAGTTGAAGTGCTCACTGCCAAATCGGAAAGTCTTGGGTTTAATCCCAGCAGAATTGCGGCTGTCCGGTGCTTCCTGAATTTGATTGATTATCTAGGTTCAGTCTATGATCCAAACTATGAAACAACTTCATTTAATCTCTTAACGTGTATTGTCTGTACGATAGAAAACACAGTAAATCAAATCTCCAATCTTACTGAAACTGATATTTTCCGTGGGTCTCAAAATCCCGTTACCCACTTTTCAGTTAACATTTAAAGCCCTGTAAATTGTTTTTAAATTAACTAGAAATCTTTCATTCTTGACTGGTAGGTCCTGGGTTCGAATCTCGCGGGGGGGATCGTGGATGAACACTGCTGAGGAGTCCCACACTAGGACGAAACGGCCGTCCAGTGCTTCTAAGTTTTCCATGGTGGTCTAGCTTCAGTTAACTCATGATTTCAGCTATTGAAATTTCTAAAATCCCCACAAAACCCTTTATGGTTATTACTATTTTTTTAAATTCCCATAGGTGTATCAGTTTTGAACATAATTCACATTTAAATCTGTTTGTTTTGTCTATCTCATGTTACAATCCAGTCCCTCTATCAAAAATAATTCTACACATTTATTTTCTTGCTAACAGATATCCAGAATGTTGAATTTTTTGCCGGTAAAGCGGAGAATATCTTACGAAATACTATAGACAGTTTACCAGAAGGCTGTGATTTGTCAGTTGTAGTTGATCCTCCAAGAGCTGGTCTACGTAAGTTGTTGGTTTCTTATTTAGTTTAGTAATTAATTCCAAGTTAATAATAATTCTTTGCTTTGTCAATGATGGCATGTAATGAACAAACCTATTTAAACACAGTCACTTGTTCTGACTGCTTGAAAAATTGTCAAAAATTGATCACACTTTGCACCCGGTTATAGTGTCAGAAGATATAATACCCGCCGGATAAAATACATCGAAATTGTTTGAGCTATCAAATTCAGTGTTCTATGTTGATTTCTGTGATAAAATGGTGATTTCAACTGTGCTTGAGCATGTGTCTCAATAAATTAACATTAGTAGCACTATATCTCCACCGAATATTAACATATCTTTTGCGCACAACGCCTACCGAACAGAAAATCGCCAACGGCTAATCGATTCCATTGTTTTCTTTCGCACTATTTGTCTTATACACTGTCACCATAATTATACTGAAAGATCAGCTCACTGCGGTTGGTAACTGACGAGTTTGCTGCTTGAATCCTTGTTACGGAATTCCTAGCCACTTATAACCCCGTACTACCACACTTAAACCCAAACAATAGATGAAAAACAAAAAATATAAATAAAAGCTTAGGACCCGTCTCTGTAGCAAAATCAAGCTTATTTTTCGTGTCCACTAATAGCTTTTAAACTCTGAAAACTTTTAAAACCATGACATAGTAGGTACACAGAGTTTGACACAATCCGTCCATTTTCAAGAGCCCGTACGTGGCGGGCGTGTAATGATTCGGTTCCTAAAGGTCTTATCAAGGGATTCTTATTAAACCTCAACAGTAACTCTGTTTCAATCGTTACTCTTATCATTTTCTTATTCATTTTAGATCATTCTGTTATTCAACTGTTGAGAAATTGCAAACAAATCCAAAGACTTATCTATATTTCCTGTAATATTGAATATGCTGTAGAAAATTTTTTAAAGTAAGTTTTATGTTTGTGTGCATTAGGAATACTTTATATTTGAAAAAAGAAAAAAGCATCTACTCTATCCATTGTTATATGTTTGTTTGAAAAAGCGATTTTAACACTCGAAAGTTTCAACTAGCTAGAAACAAATGGAATCATCTAACTACCGGATGAGAGATAAACCACATCAGTACTTGTATTTATTGCTGGTTTGAAATCGGTACACATAATACTGAAGCGCTGGATACTGACTTTTCAACTGTTTAGTCCCCCAGATATTGACTATTTATTAGGCCTCAAACAAAAGTTAAAAAGCGTAAAATATGAAAGGATCTGTACTTCTGGAATGTAGGTTCAGAAAGCAATGATATTTATAGGCTTTTACATTAAAATAATTTTACTTATTGTGTAATCATACTTTTTAAAAATTCTATGTCATGCTTCTTTTTATGATTTCAGTTTTGCTAGACCTTGTTCCAAGAAATTCACAGGAATACCATTTGTTCCAACTATGGCTGAGGCTGTCGATCTTTTCCCACAAACTCTGCATTCTGAAGTTATTTTACTGCTTGAACGTATTCCATCAATTCCATAAACAATTTTGTATATAGTTTATTTCAAATAAATTATTTTGTTACAAACTATTCTGCTTTTTCTTTACAATAAACATTTACGGTCAGTTGATAGTTCAAGAGCCCGTACGTGGCGGGCGTGTAATGATTCGGCTCCTAAATAAATTCGTGCTGTTACCGTGTGACAATCTTACTAAGACGAACCACTTAGATTGAGAGATCGAATCTTGTTAAAAGTACAGGTTAAACGAAGAAATATTTATTTACAATTAATTTCCCGTCATAAATCCTCACTACTATACAAGTTTTTACAATTAAAAATGAAATCAGTCCCAAGTGAACCGTGATGAATCAATATATTCTATTAAAATAGTGATCAGTTAGCAATCTGTTTCTCAAAATTTCTCGGGTTCAATTACTAATTTTATCCATAAGTAATTTATTTTAATAATCTGATTACTTAATTCCCTTTGCACACATTTAAATTAGTACGTATCATTAAATTTACAAATAACGTTGAACATTGTTTGATTTCGCACTCAATTTCTATTCTTACGTAATGAGTTGATGTGATTAACCGATTATATTATTTTGAATCTCTGAATTTATCATATGATTACTATCTTAGGAGAAAATATTGAGACGCATTACTAAACTGATGCATCACCATTCATTTAGTATTGATTTTATTGTCAACATAGGGTTGTAGAGATTGTTGAATTTCATTGTAGTCACTAACTGACCGAAGTTAAACAACCATTGAGAACGTGGAAGGACCGAACGACCTTTACGTTTCAGTATGAGACTCCTCAGCCGTGAGCATTGACAACCCGACAATCGAGGATCGAACCAGAACGTTCAATCTCGTGCGCGAACGCTGAGTCGGGATACAGTAATGTGCAGTTCTAAATTCAGTCAGTCTACGTAGAGTGCGACCGTCTTCCATTACTTTCGAAGAGTATCTTCCTCACACCTGACACGGTTTTTCGTCCTGGATACGTACTACTGAAAAGTCCCATTATAAGATGAAACGACCATTCAATGCTTCTGGGTTTTGAGTGGTTGATTACCTTTGATCAGCTTGTGATTTCAATGAACTGACTTTATGCTCAGTTGTAAAATCCATATATTAGTGTAGAGCTAATTGAAAGAAAATGTCACTTCACTCAACAACTTGAATTCGAACCTTGTTAGTCACTGGTTTCATACTAATGAAATCAATCTACGCAATGAAAAGAAAAAGACTTATTTCGATTAACCAGATAAATACCTCTATTGCCCCCCTCCCACAAGTGTAACTAAATAATAACTGGAAATAATGTTGTTGTAACAGTAGTATTTTGTTTACAAAATCAAGTGTTCATATGAGGATTATGGGAAGTTTAACCATTCAGCAAAAAAATGGCACAATCAGTCAATGTGTGTACAATAGAAGAAAGAAGTTCAATAGAAAAAATCAATCGATCACAAGTCGGTATTTACAAGTTTGATGAAGTAAATCATAAAGGATAAAAAATAGATAGGTTTGTTCTTCCAACAAAAAAAAAATTAGACGTAGATAAAACTAACATCGTTTCAGAGAAATTCCAGTTATTTATGTGTTAAAATATAAATCATCACTGAATTTGTGCTCGTAGATTAGTAATCCGATCATATAATTCTTTGTTGGTTTTTCCAACTTCACGTTGAATATACAATAAATCATATTCTGATTTCTCACGAACCGCTACTTGAATGGCTTCTTCGATTCTCCTTTTTAAGTAATCGAAGTAAAATGCAATATTCTTAAATGATTTTATTAGGATAAAGTATCTTACTAGATATATACCGCCCCCCCCCCAAAAAAAAACAATACATCAATTCAATTCACTGAAAGCAAATTATTCAGCTAAAACTGTGAATATTCAGTCCTACTTTTGATTGTTTTGTGCAAGGAGATATTTGGAATATTATTTCAATATTTTAAGATGTAACCTGTGTATGTTTGTTTTTTCTTACTGTGTGCATGAACTCATGTGAAATCTATAGACTATAACATGTGAACAGTTGTACGTAAAATAAAAAGTTATGAAGATGGATAAACGTTCCGTTTGGAACGTTCTTGTTTTTAAAAAAAAACTTAATTCCATAGATCTTAAATTGTTGAAATGAATTTTTACGAGACTTAATCATGATTACTATATATTTTGTAGGTTGTATTTATTACAGATTAATCTTGTTTGAGATACCATTGAAAATCAGGCAGCACTGGACTTTTTTCTTCTAATAGATAACTTTATGAAATTTTATAAATCAGAGAACAAAATCAGTATTTCACTTTTATTATTGTAATTATTTTTGTTCTCTCTTATTTATACACTACTAAGAACAATGTAAATAGACAACGAAGATCTTTCAGTCCCGTAAAATTATTGATTATTTTTAATATTGTCATAGCTATAATTGGTTAGAATCAATGATTCTATAGTACTGTGATTAACAAAAAAACAAATTGCTTACCCAGTCATTACCCAGAAACGGACTGTTCGTTCAGGTGGAAGTTTAGAAATTAGTTTTATCGCTTCGTCTATACGATTGCCGTCGATACAAATTTTGATTAATATCTTTTTGTATAATAAAAATAATAAGAATTTATTGCGACTAAAGAAGTATGGCTTAAAATTCAAAATAAAACTTCCAATTAACTGATTGATTAAGCTTTGAGTACCAATTATTTTTTGCAATGCGGTAGCCAGTAGTTATAGAATATCTGCGTGGAACCGAATATAGTTAGATTAAAGGGAGGTAGGAACCCATAAGTCAATGAATGATGATCACGTCAAGTCATTGCTCTAATTGTTGCTTTTTACTGTTTCAAACAAACTAAGACTGAAGTAGAAGATACGAATACTTAATTGAAAATTAATGTGATATAAATAATAAAAGCTGCTTTTTCTTTCTGTTATATATAGAATCCGATTTAGGATTGAACAAACTATTCCAATTAGGAGTGCAAAACCCTACTTTTGTGTATTCCAATTGGTCGAGTGACTTGTTTCATTCATTATAGTCTAGGAAATTAAAATTTATAATGTTTAGTTTGGATTGATCTAGTTTATTCTGTGGGAACTTTTATTAACCATTTTTGCTTAACTAACATTTAATGCGCTCTCTATAACTACCATATTTTTGTTAAAAATTCAAATTTCTCATTATGCCATATCTTGATCCTATATTAAAAAAGCAGGCCTGTTGTCTGGCAATTTTATTATATTTGAGTGAGGAATACAATCTACAAATACAATCACTCAACCAAACTGTAATAGTCGGCTTACTGGTGATTTCAATATATTAATCAAATTCTACTGTGAAGTCTTGAATGGTACAGTTCAAAAATGTTAAAAGTAACACAGTTGTCGCTAATGGTATTGGATGATCGTCGTGCTATATTACGAACTGATTAAAAATGAGATTGTACCCAGTGGTACTAATGCTTAGGCGTTTGCTGCAAGACCTGCAGGTCCAGGTTTCGACCTCGAGCGGGTTCTTGAGTGTACATTGCTAAGGAGTCAAATGCCCTCCAGTTTCTAATGGTATCCAACTAGCAAATGAATTTAACCTCCACAAAACTACCTCATCTAAATACTGATGTATTGTCAGCTGTTATCTTTTACTAATAATCTACTAACATTGATCTAAACGTCAATTAGAAAAGAGAACTGTGATGTACAATGGACTCGATGAGCATTTAAATAAATAAATAATAGCCGGTATTCGGTAGTTTGATGTAGTCAGCAAAAAACACTGGACATATGTTTCTTTCTAGTTGGCGCTCGGTATCAAGGTGTAATTCCGATTTTGAAGGAACTGGTGTTGCCCGTGGGATTTAAACACATCATAAAAATTTTTGGTGGAGTTTTGTTCTCTGAGCTGGATGGTTTGATCGTGGAGCTTTCATCGTTCTTCTGAACGACATCATCAGCACAAACTTCTATTTGAAGTTTGTGCTGATGATGTCGTTCAGAAGAACGATGAAAGCTCCACGATCAAACCATCCAGCTCAGAGAACAAAACTCCACCAAAATCATCCACCTGAGCTACAAATCTTCTCCACCATCTCAACATCATAAAAATTCACGACCTAAAACTTTACGATTGAGCTATTCAATCCACACATTAATCTAATGCAGGACTGAGATCATTACAATTTATTGATTATTCAGTATTAAGAAATATCATCTTGTCTAATCGTATGGTGCTGATAGAAAATAAAAAACTAAACGCGAATATTAGCATACTTAAAACTCCCAACTAGGATATTTTTGAGTGCTTGCACTGAGAAACAAAATAGTGGAGATTATAATGCAACAAAGCATAATCATTAGAAAACAATTATTAAGGCTTTTATTGGGTACCTCAACATTAACCGGTGGTTTTCTTGCTCGAATCATTTTATCCATTTCTAACCAAGATGCATTATTGATTGCCATACCAACAACACGAAGAAAAGCGAAACGTTTTTCTGAAACTCTAAATTCTCTGCGTAACTGATCTGCTTGACGTTCGGATTGCCCGGAAGCTAACAAACGGCTGAGTGTTGTGTTTAACGACTGACCAACCCAAAGCTTCTCATTTATACTACCAGACTGTACTACCTCGGGTAATATACGATTAGAGCCGGGTATGGATTTAATTTCGAATACAGGAGCAGATATTTCTTGTTTCTCAAGTTTACTTTGGAATTTCAATAGACGAACTTGTGCGTTACATTGCTGACACAGAGAAAAGCAGGAATGAAATCCGAATAGTTATAATCTCTATTTAATATTTCAGTAAATTTACTGAGAGTGGGAACATAAATAACTTAATGGGATGGAATTTAAATGGATCCGGAATGGTACTACACAGACAATGAATGTTGACGCGTAGAAAGCAAATTTTAAATTTATACACAATAATACTGATTACTAGTCTATTATCTCAAAAACAAACTTGAACAGGTCATGTTAATGATATCCAGAAGTTGGTGTTGTATTACACTACACATTATGCAGTTACACTAAACCAAGCACATCGGTTAGTTCCAGGTTATTGGCTTATAAATAAACAGAAGGTATATATTTCTCTTATTTTATATCGTAAACTATATCCTACTTATTGTTGTCAAAAAGTTTTACCAGAGTATTTCAAGTTTTCTTGTCATGAAATAGTTATACGAGTTATCTGGAATAGTACCATGTGTTATCATACAAATTTGAAGGTTATTTATTTATCTTTGTATAGTAAATGCCCTATTTATGTTTCAAAACAATATTTGCTAATATTACTATTTATATAAATTGGTGTAAAACTTAAATAAATCCTCTAATATCTCTCTTCAAGCAAATATATGAAGTAGTTAGGGATGGAAATATCATGATATTTCGTAAATGATATCTATTATGCTCAACAAGTATGAACACATGAAAGATGGTAACATGGAGACTTCTTGGATGAGAGGTTCATGTAATGATTGTAATTCATGGTGATAAATATTGGCTAAAATTGCCAAAAATTATAATTATTTTTCACTTTTGAGTTTTCATTTGTTCTTTTTCATGTATTTTCTCTATGTTTGGCTTCTCACTGTATTATTATCATTATCACTACTGGCCTTCTTACCATAGATACAGGTAACTTTTTAACTAATATGCTTACCTGAGCCATAAAATCATTCTTTGATTGACGATAAATCTCTTCAGCATTTTGTAATAATGTCAATCGTGAAGCTAAACTCTACAATTAATTAAAATAAGTTATTTGATCATAAGATTTAAGAGTATACAAACTGTACCAATTATATTATAATGCTTATTATTACTACCATTATTATTTTATCAAAGTAATACTGGTCGGCGGCCTATGCTCCATTGGGAGTAACAGGCGTAAGTAAGTAATGTTACATGTGACTGACTTATTAAGAATAGTACATGACTTTTGAGGCATACTTTAAACATAAAAGCTGATAATACTGCTCGAATGGCCAAATCAAAATATGCTAAATGGATTACAAGTTTCCAACCTACTGCTTGGAATATGAATGCTTAAACTATTAAACTATCACTCTAACAAGGGGTATTCAAACACCTTTATTAAAATAAACGTAGAAATTAGTGTATTCAAAATTTGATAGACTGGAATTTATTAGCTTATTTGCAATCTCAACCATCGATAATTGAATTGTTCTTTAAAACAGAATTGATCATAAAGTTGGGAAGATGATAGTGAATATCACTAATGGATACAACTTGTGTTAATGAACTGAAATGATAACCTGTTGTACGTCAGAACAACCAAGACGGAACTAAAAATTCTTCTTAGATCACTGAATAAAGACACTCTTTGGAGTCAGTCTGTATTGCCTGTGGTGAAGGTTAACAGAAGTAGCTTAAGTGGTTCCAAACATACATAGAAGTTTGAGACTTGGAAAAAGGATTACTTAACTTCACGAAAACCAAATATCTTAAAATGAGTGAAAAGTAGAAAATAACAGAAGAGAACAGCTTACATTTTCTTGATAAGCTGAGAGAACAAGTTTTTTAGCTTCTGAAGCATGATCATTTTCATGATCAAAATTTAAAAGAGCAGCTTTTGTTGAATTTTCAGAACCAGATTTAGAATGATCAGCTTGTTCTAATGTCTCTTGATATATGGCCAGAGCTATTGGATGCCGACGAAGTACCATTGCGAGATCTGCTGGTGGTAATTTACTTTGCTCTTGCAATGCTACTACAACTGTCGTAATTAGTTCAGGATTTCCAGTCTCTACTGCTCGAACTAATGCACGATTATAACGAGATAATTTTAAAAGTAATGGTACCTGACGCCAAGCGCGTGGCTCATATTCTAATATTTGCTCCGCGACTGTTTCTCGACCAGCTGAAATAGCTTGACTAGCTACATCAGCGAAATCCAAATGAGGAATAGAGGTACTGTAATAGTTAGCATGATGATTACTAGACTTAGATTTGCTCTCTGATGAATTGTTGAATAACTTATCCACAATAGCTGCTACCCGTTCTGATATCAATGTAGCTGCTCCTGAAGATGTTATAGAACTATTGCATGCCCAATGAGCAAGTAAACGAGTAAATGTGCATGTCCCATAATTGCTTTGACTTTCTTCTAGAATGCTTATTGGCCATTTATGTTTTTGATGGATTCGAACAACTTCAATTGCCATTGGGTAATGACGGCGTATCAATAAACGTTCAAACAATTTGTTTGGTCCTAATTCACGAAACTGACGCCACGTTAGTGCAATACCTAACCATGGAACAGCTAAGCTATTCAACAAACGCAAAGTTTGACAAACTTTTGCAGCATGATCCGCGCTATAAGAAACAATAAAATTATGATGCAAATGGAACCGAAAAGTAACTACTTAATTTTTATGTAAAATTAGCAAATTTAAAGTATTGGGACACATTATTAATATGCTGTTGAACCACATAAGCTAGACCCAGTTAAGGATTAGGAGTAAAATAAAACTATTGAATGAGTCATGGATAACTTAATAGATTAGAATAAGTCATTTACGAACTTACAGCTTCAACAGTGTCGGGAATATATCCTACCGCCAATCAGAAGGAAAATATACTCCACAACAGTTTTCTGTGGGGTACTCTAGGTTGGAACTTGACCACTAAGAATGAGAAGATTGATTTAAGTCGTGTATTTGATCATATGTCTTTCTACTACTGACTAAATGATATGGAGCAACCAAGTGCGAAATGTTGTGATGAAGTGTCAAGTATAACTGATGATGGTAAGTCTGTTTATGACGTTGTGAACCTGTAACAACGAAAGTGGCTGTGTTACGTGCCATGCGATCGATGTTACACTTCAGCAAAATGACCGAACAACAAGGTGGAAAGCAAATTGTACGACTAATGATAATCCATACCTGTCAAAAGATTGTTAAATACCATGGGCAAAAAGAAAAGCTTGAGGGAACATAGAAACCGGAATTCTCTAAAAATTTGACAATCGCGATTGAGAAATCAAGTAAAATAACACAAAAAATGGAGAAGATACACCTTCAAAGACAATCTAATCAAAATCTTGAATCCACCAATAAGGTAAAACATACGCTTATGATATCCGCTTCTTAAAACAACCTCAGTAAAATATCTACGTTAAAAGTTGAAATGCAAAACAGAAAAATCTTCAAAACTAGAATTCCTCTGTGTACTGCAGTCAACCATTGAATATCAACTATAAGGATTTGTAGAAATAAGATGGTGGTACCTCTGGCTAAGCGGAAGAAAACGCCAGTCAACTAACCACAGAATAGTATAAAGTGCTAAGAGATATCAGATATAGGATGGACATGGTTACGATTGCAGTTGATAGATAGATAGATATTTACAAAGACGACTACATTAATAAAGTTGAATTGCTTAAGAATAAAAGTATATATTAGTCATCACCAAGAAACCCAATCAAAATGTCGACAACTTTATATTCAAGATCACAAACAAGGTCATCAAAGCAGGACAAATAAAAAAAAATGAAACAAGGTTTATTAAACCTATTCTCCAGCGATTTTATAGTAGGCTAAAATCACACAAAACAAATACTCTTCTACAATCGACTGTTGAATTTCATGGGGAATTTCAGTAACACTAAAATATTTAGTGGGTTTATGCAATCATTCTATAAAGTCTCCGGTACATTTTTAGATAAGAATAGGGATGGTCAAAGTAGGAGCGAGAAACTAGTGGTATTGAGGATAACTCAATTTCAGTATAGAGTTGTGGAGATTGTTGAGTTCTATTGAAATTATGAACCGGTCAATGTTAAACCACTATTGGAAACCCAGAATTATTGAACGGCTATTTCATCTTAGTATGCGACTCAATTTACCAACCAATTCGGAAAATGATAAACAAAACCAGAATCAACAATAAGACCTAAAGGGAAAAAACTATCGAAATGATTTTATGTAGACACTGTATCAGCACAATTATCAGGAGCAATTAATCATATTCAATTTTTTTTTTAAAAAACAAGCTGCTAGTTGTTAAGGAATTACAAAAGCTTACATCATTTTGAATTAGATAATATTGTCGAGGAAGGCAATGAAAGCCTCACGATTAAACCATAAAGCTCAAAAAATCACAATCGCTGATAAGTTTTTCGATCTTATATTTTTTTTAAATACAGTATTTGTTTAACCTACTGAATTATCTTAAACAAAAGAAATTCTTTAACTGAGTAATTATGTGCAGAAAACGAACAAACTCACAGTTCTTTTAATTTAGCCTCAACTGAATAATGATCTGTATTGTTATTGTTAGTAACAGTGGTAGAAGAAATAGTAGCATTAGGAGTAGTATTCATCATAGCTGATAATAATCCTCGACCTAAATGAGCAGATTCCAGTAGTTCTTGTTGACAAATAGGATCAACAGTTGCATGACATGCTGCTTCAATGCAATGTGATATTGCATCAATCATTTGATTAGGTTGTTTAATAGGCAATAAATAATCATTAGTACGTCCACAATTGATTTTTAAACTCTTACTTGCAGACAATAACCATGTGGCTGGACACGATGCTCCAATACGTCCAAGTGATTCTAATGGGGATGGTACACGTTGTAATAATTCGTGTGATGTAGGTGATAGAATGCGAATTCCATCAATCTAATGATACAATATGTGTGTACGTTTGTTAATAAAGAAAAATAAGACAGAACAAACATGATGAGAATTGGAATATTTCAACATCAATCGAAATTTAGTTTAAATGATATTGAGAGGACTTTGTTTTAAAAAAACAACATTACTATCATCTATAAGAGCTGATAGAAATCGGAGAATTGGGGAGGATTTTGTTTTTGTCCCAATGTTGGATACTTTAACAATATGTAATATGGTAACTGATTACTTCACAATACAATGGACTGATAACTAATTCATTTCACCAAATAAACATTCCATTGATATCTAGTTTTCGATGCAACACAATCAACCACATTTCCTCGGATAATGAAACATCTAGTAAAAGATGAAACTATTTTCCAGTCACTGGTAATAAAATTTATCATGAATACTATTCTAATATGGGATGAAAAAAAAATAATTTTATTTGAAAATTGCAGAATTATGACTAGAACTAAAGTAGCCATATTTCGAATTGTGGTAAGGAGTAGTTTTCATCCCACTTTGGGTTAGTCAGCTGGATGTAATTTTACTCCAGTGTTGCTGTTTACACAACAACCGTTGCTCTAATCACCTAACAGGTTATTCACTGAGTTCAGATAGCCTGGATAGACCGCCAGGATATGGTGGATATACCAATGAAGACTGATCACAATTCAGGCGCTAATAACAACAATGAGATAACTAACTACTAGTGTTATGAAGTAATGAATAATAGACTGAGAAAGAAAACAAGAAATGTGATATGTATTCTTGAAATACCTTTCATCATTTCACTATATTTAACCTTTATGAATTGGTTTGTATAATGAGAAACCAAACTCATCAACACTATAAATGAATAATCTTAAGATTACTCATTCAACTGTCGGAAGTATCAATACGTACCGAGCAGACATTAAGATGCTTGATTAATCTATTACTGAAAATCGTATTGTTGTTAATAGTACTAAAAACATCTATGCTAATCAATAAAGACTGAATATAGCCTCGTCAATTGAAACACATATTGTCCATACACACAAATAAGATATATTACTTACCTCTTGTGCTAAGAATATATCATCAGCATAAAATGTTTCATAAATATCTGACTGTGTACTTATAATAGCAATTAAATTATTCCATTGAAGCACAACAGCTGAATTAGTTAACCAAAGCATCGTTTTAGGATGATTGAATTTTTGATTAGTTGAATTATTATTATTCATCAACATAACTGATATACGTTGGGTCAAGTCAATATGTGAATGTAATTCAGTAAATCGTGTATTGGTAATTAACAATTCACCATTGTTTAAATAAATTGCAACAAATTGCATATTCAAAGATATAGACAATAGGTAAATATCAGAACCAGTTGACCTAGTAAGCTTTGACAAATCAATCTGGATAATAGAGAAAAAATATATATATTTGAGGAAAACCTCATGAATAAAACATTGTTTAGTATGTTGAATTTCCATCATCTGAGGTGGTTGGAACGTGTTGCACATGTCTAGCCATGGCTTACCTTGACGCGTGATATTCGCTGGTGTAGATGTAAGTTGGAAAAAAAGTAGGGGTGGTCAAACTAAGGCTTAGCATCAGTTCACGAGGACACTGGTTACTGATCTGAACCATGCTGGTAGATGCAGACTGCCTGACTGGGTTATGCACAACAACTACGATCAGTTGCTGGGCACGTTGGATGACATCGCTTAGAAACTGTTGTAACGGGTGGAGTGCAGGTTTAATGCGCAGCGTATTTATCGATCGATTCAGCGACACGTAAACACGTAATGAACGACCTAGAGTCCCGATCGGCCCTGCTTCGCTGTCTATCCCAGCTAGTTGAGTCCAGAACACAAATCTCAGCCTTTGAGTTATGAATCATTATATTTCAAACACACTCTGTTTATATACTAATCAAGCAGACCACATCGTACCATAAAATAGAAAATAATATCTGTACAGTATTAAACGAGTGAAATAAATGATGGCCAATAGGGAATGCCCATTTAGAGTTCAAGGACATCATTAGACTTAACATGATAATGATTGGTATATTCCTCAGCATACCTAACAGAAACAATGACAATGGTGCAGATAAATTTCCTCTTTCTAGATCTTAAGCTCCATAATTCACTCATCATTACTCCTCCTTTTGTATTCTTTCGATTCATATCCTTCATTATGCCTTTCACAATTCGTCTTGTTGCTTCCATTTCGCTGCATCAACGTGATAGAGCGTCTTAGATTACTGTATATTTGTGCCAGGCTTTACATTTATTATGATTAACTGACTGTTTAGTGGGTACACGCAAAAACAGATGACGTAGAAAACAGTTGAGTGTTTTTTGAAAACAGATTCTATTTTTTCAGCAACCGACATTAACTTCTAATTATTCAGGCTGCTAAAATCCATCTCTATCGTATAAGGGGGACTTATATTTAAATGATTTAGGAGTTTGATCAAACTAAAACAACTGATTTTAATTTACTTATCGATAGAAATTACGTTAAGTGATAAAAAACCACAAGTGGGGAAAATGGTTGGTGAATGAGAAACTAATTTAGTTTTATTAAATAATAGTAGGCAGTGTGCACTTGAAAAACATAGCATTCCAGAATATGGACCGATGAGTATCTTGAAGTCATGCTAGACGAAGTTGCTGACGGTAAACTAAGGTCACAAAGTTTAATATTCACATCTATAATATAAGGAAAAGGAGCATTTATTGTCAAATAAGTCGACATTCTGATGGGAGTAAACTCCAAAAAAAGCAAGTACCAAGCAGATTCCTGAGTAAATTAGTAATGATAGTCGCTTTATTGAGTGTGACTGATATTGACTAGTGCAGAAATAACAGATAAGATTAATATTACACACAGGGTTTAGGAAAGTAATAAACATCAAACGATGGTCGATAAATTTGAAGGGAAACATAGGTTCAGACTATGTTTAAACAACTATGTATTCATTGAATCCTGCATCGTGCATGGGAGTAATAAAATAATTTAATAATTTCTATTTTTGTAATCCTACGCATCACAACTAATAGCTCCCTTTCTGATTTACTGCGAGATTTGAGACAATTCAAAGCTTGGAAGTACTTACACCTTCAACTGTTCCAAAGTCAGCTCGGTACAAATTCTTTTTGTTTGAAAACATCACCCATGGGCTTCGAAAAGAATCAGGTGTTCCAGTTTCAAGAGGTGTTGTAACAATAGTCCAAAGTGACAAAGACTTTACTGGTCCAGGTAATTCTACAAGGCGTCGCATACGTGGAGTTTCGATACTGGTAGTTACATATATGTGGTTTCCACCGGTAAGAACAGCTATCCCTGTATTCTAAAAAAAAGATGTCCTACATTAATACTGAAAGCAGCAAGTTATATATATATATATATATATATATATATATATATATATATATATATGAATTAATTACGACTATGAAATAATGAGCGAAGGTAAAGTCAAATAGCTAATTTGAAGGTACCACTTGACTTTAATAAAGACAAAGCGTTGGACATGCCCAAAAAGTAACAGGTAAAAATTAGCAATGTTTCGCGCCCATAGATGGTTGGGCTATAATTTTCACACCCTTAGAAGTCCATTATGCGCACTATTTGAAGCATAAAAAAGTTTCAGAAACTGGTTAAACTTAGAGGTACACTAACGTTTTAGCTTTGGTCTAAATTAAATAAGGGAGGATTAAAAAAAGAGGAACCCTTTGTGGGTAGTCAATGTTAGTTGTAAGAGGCTTTAGAATGTTGATAATTTTCGTTCTCAGTAAACCAGCCCTCACAAAGATTCTTCTTTCGAGATCTGGTAAGTTAAGAGGAAACAATCCTCCATAACTTGTTTCGGTGGTGTTTCAATGCACAATTCTTTTTTATATGTTCAGAAATTTCTGATCAAACAAAGCAGTTGCACATCTGATAAAATGGGTTGAGATTCAAAAGTGCCACACCTACTAACATAGCTATGATATATTTACACAGAAATTAAGCAGTCCTGATGGAAACGACTTAACGCATCCAGTCCAATAGTTTATTGTGTTTTGAAATTAACAAGCTGAATTCCTGAATGTTGATTGGTTTAGGAAGGATTTGTAAAATAAGCTGACCTTTAATAACTTTTCGCCAAAGGTTGATAACATTTGTTAATGCTGTTTTATGGCAAACTGAAGATTATATCAAGCTATAATGCGATGGAAATCCTGTCTATGATTCTGAAAACTCTAGCTGGCAATTCGGTAAATATACCCTATAGTATAATACTGAGCTATTTGACGTATGAAATTACTGTAGGACATTTGAAATTTCTAAAAACAGCTCACTAATACAATTGTATTCAGAAACTCAATCTATTAACTATACATTGTTTCTATTAAATACAGTCACGCAGTTTTACAGAAAATTCATTAATTAAGAAGTTCATGACACATCTATTAAATCTGGATTCGGAAATTTCAAATGAGAACAATAACTAATTCATACTAATAGTATCAATACGGCAAGACTTACATAATCAATGTTAAAGAGCTTAGCACTAATTATTTCTCTTTCTTCAGCTTCAGGTCCCATACTAAAACGTCGAACAAACTTGCCCTGATGATCTAATATGGTAGTGAATCCTGTTTTTTGGATAACTAATAAATCCTCTGACGAAGTCCAACCAAGCAATATACCAGGTGCATCTTTCCACTGAAAAAGAGGAAGTTTAATTTTTTCATATTATGGAATGAATTCAATGTCGAAAAATAAATCTAGATAAGAAGTTGGACAAGTGACAATGGGTCAGTTTCAATTAAATGTGATAACAATGAAAACTTTTTAATTACATCACTGTTTCCAGAAAATCAAAAAATATGACAACTTAACTACTTTCGATTACTCTAGCTTACAATACGGTCGGAAATTATTTTGGCACGGAAAGACAGACATATTATGACTACCTGCCGATCTACCGTCTCAACAAGGGTTTCTCAAATTGTTCTAAACAATGGTAATCAACAAATTCGCTTACATATCGTGAACATTTAGCTATAATAAATGTACGACTTGTAACAGATATGCATTAATTCATGACTATCATAAAGATATACTCAGCTCTATTAGGGGCAGATTCCAAACTCTACCAAAATAGTTCAGTGTTCTACCGATAATTACCAAGCGTCTTTTTGTACTGATGAAGACAAAAGAAATAAAGCTCCGATTTACAAAGCCGAATGGGGTTATCGTATTTAATCAGAATGCATAAGTCAACATACTAAGTGGTCCCGTGAAATGAAACCTAAAACACTTTAGTTAAGGGGCTTTGAAATCTAGCACATCAAACAGACTACTTTTACCTTTGAAATCTACACCTTAACTAATGTCTCGATTTAGTCAGTAATTTCGAACTAATATCTAAAAACTATGTGAAAATAATATATTGGGTATAGCTTTTTTTAAACAGAAATCCAATATTATAGCTTTTTGAGCAAGCCATTTTAGCGAACAATTTGTACGTAGTTTACTTCTTTTAGCCTCTTCCCGCCAGTCAAAGTTGGTAATAGTGCACAGGCTAGTTTGAACCACGCCAGAAAGTTAATATAAAACTCTTCCGGACAGTTTTTCCCCGTAAGTACACTTGATGTGCACATTTATTTTAAAAATGGTAAATGTACCTCGAAAAATGTCTCTACTGTGTTTAAAAGTATGAAAACAAGTACATCGAACGATAAACGATCAAAGTCTACATAAGCGCTTCACTATAAGGAGTAATATTCAAGTAATCCCTTCAATGATAATTATGTTCCATCTTGTAATTGATGTTTAATGGCTTCTACAAACAGGTGAATTTCAGAGCACTTCATAACACAACTATTGTCGTAATTTGTTTGGTTTCGAATAAAATAACACTGTTCAACGCTCTCATCTGCAGTTGAAAACACGGACATCTCTACGATCAGATAAAAAATATGAACCCATTTCTTGCCTACGCCTGTTACCCCACGCGTGAGCATAGGCCGCTGACCAGGATTCTCCAACCAACTCTGTCCTGGGCTCTTTCTTCAATGTTTTCAGTTAGTACTACTTCTTTTGAATCCATACCTAGATCTTAAAGTAGTGTACAAATTTAGGATTATAGCATTATCTTCTTCTGGATTTGCTACAGTGTGAACAACTTTCTTCTAACCATAAGATCTCAAGTAGAAAGTATTGCGGAACACTGAGTATTAATTGTCATGTTAATTAAAAGATAAATTTACACATTCAATTCCGAACTAACAAATAAAGTTGAAATCAACTCACAACACTTTGGGAAACGAGTTTGCCTGATGATGTATATATTTGAAGTATTGGTTTTGCTCCCGCTTGGCCATCCAAATACATTGCTAAGTGAACTTAAACTACTGGTAAAAATATCCCTACCGATATAACCAGAATACTGACAAATCGATGTCTTGAATTGTGATATTGAAAATCCCATACCCCACGGCATATCGTAAAGATGAAGCTTTCTACAATACAATAAAAATCAAATCAACAAGTACCTAAAATAAATATCTCCAACAGCAAACCACTCTTCACCCAAGACCGTCATTATGAAGTGTCAGAAAAGTGCTATTCACGATTTAAATTAATATAAGGTTTAACGACTGACGACAATGATTGACAAGGAAACACAGACCCTGTAATAAAAAGCAAGTAATGTTTGGTAAACAAAGTCAACACAGTTGATGATGGTAGGAAACGCGATAGAAGCGAAATATAATGAATTTAACATATGAATATGTAAAAACGGATAATTAAATACGTGATTCCTAGTACTAACTTGTGTAGCAGTCTACGTATGCACGAATTAATGTATCACAATCAGTCTTTGAGCAGCAGATATATGTTTGGATTACTTGACTCTCAAATAATAAAAATTGCAGGTAAGAACCTTGGTTCATCTTATTTTTTTCGGGAAGTCAGGTAATATCAATAGTATTTAAATAAACAGTTCAATTTAGAGCCTATTTTATAAATCTGGTTGATAAGTAACTTACGTTATCATCAGAGTTAAATGGTGGCTGGCAACGGAATTCAGGACGCGCGATGCATACTATTTAGGACTCGTTAGCTGGTTATACTTGCATTACAGAGTTGATGTTATATCCAGAAGAACCTAGTGCCGCCTGTTATTGCGTTATCCGCTAAGCTACTAAGTCCGATTAGTCACTGGGACGAATTTTAATTCATTTGTATTGGTTGTTCGGATCCTCAGACTGATGATAAGGACTGCAAATAAACAATCTCCTTTGGCATATGTGCCTCGTTCGCAAACTACCCAATACTGCCATACAGTCACAAGCAATATAAGCAGACTTGGACAGCGGCTAACCGTGGAACACAAAACGCGCGCTTCATCCTATTTGGAACTGGTCTCCAAACACCACCTTTAGTAAAAACAGGGTTACTCATCTATATCAGTCTAGAGAGCAAGATAACTAGCATTACTATCTAATATCACCCAAACCTTTGTGTTGTCTGCAAACAAGAAAGGCTAAATCAAGTATCACCCATTAGTCAAGCATAAGAGCCCTATGCTTATGTCACCAATGTCGCAAAGAAAGTAATTCCACATCAACAAAGTAGAAACACCGAAAAATTCATCTTGGTGTCGAAATAATCTATAGCAAAGTGATCAAATAGCCTATCAACCGCGGCGACTTTAATTTATAGCATGCCCCGGGTTTCATAGCAAAACTCAGTCATCTATTTGGCTAAATAGAGTTTTTGCATTATAGCGGAGGTCAGTTCATTATAAAAACCCTAGATCTAATCCATAAACCTAATCATCAACTGTAAATCATAATTCTAACTCCGCATACTGGTTTATAACCCTCATTTAGTCATAGTTGTCAAGTGGACACTCCCAAAGTCACTCGAGCGTTGCTAAAAGGTCGTCCATAAATTATAGTTACACCGCCCATTGTTACTCACTAAATATTCGTTAAGTCAACCCACTATATTGCCTAAGATTATGGCTATTTTATATTCTGTCTACAAATATGTAAATCCAAGTGATATTTTACACTTTCGAACAGTTTTATCTCCTTGCATGTAGACGACGGATGAAAGTGACTGTTTCACTACATTAATTCCTTCCCGGTAACGCATCAGTCGTAAAGTTCAGTCAAATATATCCGATATCCAATATTGTCTCAACGAACAAGAACACGTCACTAGATTAAATTTTCGTCTATTTTCGCTCTAATAAAAATTTTTATATCTTCGAAAAAGTAAAATGAAAGTATTACAACTTCTCTGAGCTAGTAGTTATACGTATTCAATATCCGTAAATGTGTGTATTGCAATTTATCTAATATCTTCTCCATGAGCTTGTATAAACCGATTGATATACTGTTTTTTCGATACAGCTCCATGTACTTGACAGTGTCGGTGGGTGGTAGTCTAGCCACCCAACTGTACCAATCATAGTCAGCTTGTTTGTTTGGTAAACTGTATGTTTTGTCGCTCGGTTGGGTGAATTTGTCTCAGGGTTTTAGGATTTGTGGTTCACCAACGTGGTTGATCTGCACTAAATTACTGGGAGCCTACTCCAGCTAAACGAGAATGGTGTGACCAACCAACTAACGTAGAAGTCACACCTCGTGCCTAGTACCAAACGTGGATTACCCTTTCGTCGTAAACATGCATGATGGCTGCTTTGATGACCATGCAACACAAAACAACGTTATAACAGAAGTTTGTTAGTAAGAATAAGTACAAAGAACAGATTTTGATCACTGCTGCATATTCCAGTCCATGGCGAATAAATTACCTATGCACGTTAGTTGTTCGTGACCTTAAAGAAGATCAGTGAACTGTTTGACATTGATTGATCTGACTGCAGGATAGTTTGGTTAAAGCTCAGTAGTATTTCTTTGACCATACATGTCTCTTGACAGAAGCAGGTATCACATTATCAGGCAATATGTTTGGTGGGTTTCAGTGGGAGAAAAAATAATGCGATAAATCGAGTGTTATGGGAAGATGGTTTTGTAGGGATAGTTAACATAGAATTGTTTTCCAAATACTTTGCGACTAACTACGCAAGTAGCTCTTTAGGAATGCTTCCAATTTCCTGAAAAGCTAAGGTTAGCGAAAAACGAATTCGATCACATGATAGACTTAGGAATCATACGACCGTGAAACAGCCCTTATGCATCTCCGTTGCACATGGTCCCGTAAAAAGGACAGCAACGATTGGCGTCCAACCGGCGACTATCGGCGATTGAATGCAAAAACCATTCACGATCGTTACCCGTTGCCTCACATTCACGATTTGACAGCTACCTTGAAAGGTACAACTGTTTTTTCGAAAATCAACTTAGTTAAAGCATATAACCAAATTCTCATGGCCACTGACGACATACTGAAAACAGCTATCATCACTCCCTTCGGACTCTGTGAATTTTCGCGAATGCCGTTCGGTCTAAGAAACGCTGCGCAAACATTCCAAAGATTCATAGACGACGTTTTTCGAGGTCTCAACTTCGTACATGCGTATGTTGATGACTGCCTAATCGCAAGTCCGGACAGAGAATCACATCTTAAGCATCTGGATTTTGTTTTCGAACGATTACAAAAACATGGCATTACTGTAAACGTTTAGAAATGCCAGTTCGGAACCGACTCGTTAGATTTCCCAGGACACACCATCGATGCTCAAGGCATTCGACCTCTTAGGACCAAAGTGGCGGCCATTCTGGATTACCCAGAACCGACCAACGTCAAACAATTACGCACGTTTAACGGCCTGGTAAGTTTCTATAGACGCTTCATACCGAAATGCACATTACTTATGAAACCTCTTACCGACCAACTTCGTGGAAATGCGAAATCCATTAATTTGGACGACACTGCACGAAAAGCATTCTCCACAGTTATGGAACTGATCGCTAAAGCAATAATGCTCGCACATCAGGACACCGAAGCACCCATTAGTATCGCAGTAGACGCATCCGACTCGGCAATCGGAGGAGTCTTACAACAATGGGTTAACAACTCCTGGCAACCCATGGCATTTTTCTCTAGACGGTTGCTAGACACCGAATCGAGGTACAGCACATTCGGTAGGGAACTCCTAGCTATGTATTGTGCTGTACGGCATTTCCAACACTATATCGAAGGCCATGAATTCACTCTTTTCACGGACCATAAACCGCTCATTTTCTCTCTGAGCTCTACTTCAGACAAGTACTCTCCCCGTGAGTCTCGACAACTGGACTACATTTCGCAGTTTACTTCAGACATTCAACACATCTCTGGAGCAAACAATGTGATTGCAGACGCCTTATCTCGCATAACTTCCTTGAACAGTTTCCAAGGAATCGACCTTCTGAAACTCGCCGAGCTTCAAAAAGAAGACACTGATCTTCAGCACGAGTTATCATCCACAACCCTTAAACTACGCATCAAACAGATGGGAACAGATAAGGAAACCTTACTTTGTGACACATCTACAGGTAGGGATCGCCCAATCGTCCCGAAACATTATCGACTCAATGTCTTCAACACATTGCACATACTTTCTCATCCAGTTGCTCTCCATAGTAGTTCCTTCTCCATTGAGTAGATCATGAAAAGCCTGGAACCTATTGCTGAGGGCTATCTTGAATTTGTTGAGTTTGTCAGTATCCCGAAGAAAAGACGCATTAAACTTTTGTGATGTTGTCCGCCTCGTTGTCCAGTGCTTTTTAAGTTTCGACTTCATCTTGGCGACCGGCTAGTGATGATCTGAGGCTATATCAACTCCTCTCTTGATTCTCACATCCTCCATCGTCATCCTGAAGTTAGTCTTTATTGTACAACTTGTGTCCAATGTTTTTGACTGATACCAATCACCTCCATGTTTTATCTTTACATTTCTTCCGGGAGTCGGAAGACTTCTTCCGTTGCTATTTGACTGGTCTTCACAGTCTCCCACATTGTACGAGCATTCCATGTACCTAAATAAACGGTTAATCTGGTTTTCAGAAGGGGCCTCAGCCTCGCGACTTTCGAAGGAACTCGGCTTTCACCATGAGGCATCATAACTTTTCTAAATGAATACCTTCTGACTCCTAGAACACAGTTGAAGTTGTTTTAATAATTTTTCCGGTAAGCATTTTTTCGGCGAGTTATTTTTCGACGGGATGGGGTCGCTCACCCCATGTATAAACCTCCCCCTTTATCCGAACATGGGACCAGCGGTAGCCCTAAAAAGGGTCCTGGAAACGTTTTTACCTTATATCTTTTACTCATATTAAATATATTGTTCCATCTTTAGCTTATGTTTGTTCTCCATCATCCATTGGTGATTGCTACAACGCAATGAGTTGTTGTGGACAATGATATAACTTTCCCGTAAGATCTTGTAGAATAGGCAGTTATATCATGAAAACTCCACAATTCTAGGATTAGGGCTATTATTAGAGCAGTCCTAATATCATAGTTGATAATAATTCTACAACATAACTCATCCATGCACTGCTAAAATATCTTAATATTTTCAGTCCATATGGATAACGGTCGTCAATATACCTCACAAGAATCGTTTGGAATAGTCTTATTTGTGTCTTTCACGATATTGTGTAAACGTTACCACCGGTTATTCTTCTATTTCGTCTAAGGGCACTAATTTCCAAGTCTCTCACAAAATGTTTAAAACACAGAAATTAAACAAATATTGGTTCGGATTCCTTATGTCATACCAACAATCAAATGACTATGATATCTTATCCAATCACCTGTTAACACCTAAAGTGATAGGTACAAACAAGATAAAATTGGGTCCTCACAGACAAGCAATATCAAAGGTAAATTCACACGCAAAAAGATAATAATAATATTAATATATTCTCAAATAGCTGTTTGCTACATGAGGCATGCCAGTTTACAGGCAAGATCAAGTTGTTACAAATGATACAATATCCCCTGTAGTAAATTACTTAGCTGAGTTGATAATTTATAAGATATGAATGTAGATAATTTTAATCAGTATCACAGTTGGCGCGCTTCATGAAAGTTGCGTTGCGAATGTGCAACTGATGGTCAAGAATAGGTCCTTTGAAGGTGGGAGCTTCTAAAAGTCGCAACCTCATGTCCCTTTCGAATATCTAAGGCTTTGAGGATGGTGCAGGATGAAATCACCCGTTCCATATCACAAGGGGGCGGAAAGAGGGAGCATGTAAAGGAAAAGGACGAGAGGCAGAGTATCCAATATTCATGAAGGAATGTTTAATGTATGATCACTCAGTCTGATTTTCTTTAATTAGGGTATTTGTTAAGAAAGAGCAATTTAATATGTTAAAGAAAATAAGTGTAAACAAGGTGTGAGGGGACACACAACTGACAAATGGCAGCGATTCAGAAAGGAGCTGAGAGTATGGGATTATGTGTGGTTATAAAACAAAATATAGTGCAAGAAACAGTATTGCGATATACAATTAGCTATCTTCTTTTTTTATCGAAGCTATTAGAGCCTTTTTCGTCTTTTTTGTATTATTTTTTTTACAGGTATCATAGGGTCTTGAGTAGGCTTCATATATTAGCGAATTGTCTAGTTTGCGTGCAATAGGATTACTGGGTAAGAAGTGAAACAAATTCATTGTTCGTAACACGATTTAATGAGGTATTTTGCATGATAAATCAGCATTAAAACCTTAAGTTCGTGACATACCACTAAACCATAAGGAGCCGTAATTAAACAAATTGTTCTACCCTGCAGACATGGGTGGACTGAAGTTATTTCCCCATCATCATGTTTGCTGATCAGTAACGCCACCCTCCTTCACAGTCATGGCACGAACAAAGCAGACTGCCTGCAAGAAAACAGGTGGGAAGGCTCCAAAAAGGCAGTTAGCTACAAAAGCTGCTCGTAAAATTGCACCAGCAACGGGTGATGTTAAGGAACCTCATCGTTGCCCTACGTGAGATTCGTCGTTATCAATAAACAACCGAACTGATTGCATATGTCTGCATAAAACTGAGGTAAACAGAAAAGTTTTGAACCCTCATAAATTTAAAAATTCACACACAATGACTCGAGATTAAATGGGATTGAATACAGGTATGTTAAATAGAATTCACTTCATATTCATTTTGGTACATTATATCCTTTTTGAGGCTCTGACTGTCAAATGAATCATTTAACTACATCTCTACCTGTAGATAAGACACAGTATAAAGCTTTGTTATTTTTTTCTGTCTGTATTATTCATGGGTTAAGGATTGTCAAACTCAGCTCATGATGAAGATCATTCTCCACTTTTTGAAGCTGAGCAAGTTTTAAAACATTAATTTCTTGAACTGTGAAAGAAGGCAAGCCAAGAAAAGAGGTAGAAGGCTTATGGTTGGTGAACAAAGTGAATTCTCAGCTTTCCACAAGACGTTGAAAATACCTTACTACACAATTCATGGCTAGGAGCTCTTTCCAAAACTGCTGTTCCTTGATTCAGTTTGTCATGACGGAGGGCTTGAGGTCAGCTAACTGGAAGGTCTTTTGCAACGTCTAACATATTTACCATAATTTTTGTGGTACCAACACCAATCAGAGTCATTTGTTTTGCGTAGCAAATAGACAAATATTTTACTTCATGCGATTTTCTGAAGAGTTTTAGAGCATCTGAGATCATGATTAATGTTGAGAAAACGAATAAGAGTATCTTAAAGACAAATAATGTAATTTCGCTTTATTTTGGGCATTTCTTAGATAAAAAAATTACCGCAGTACCGGAGGTTCTGATGATCTCCAGAATCTTATCGATAGGTTCAGCTAGTAAGTCAAAGTGATTATTTTGGAACAAGACAAGAACCGCCGTTCAAATGTTGGGGGAGGTTATATAAGGAGTGTCATCTAAAGAGAAACTCGTCTAAAGTTCGCTGATCGGTGACCACTTACATAAGCAGTAACATTTCTGTTGCTAAGCCTTATTGGAATTCGATATTTCCGAAGAGGTGGTCTAACCTTTGTCCATCAGTTGGGTCTCGTTGTTTGATGATAGTATTTTCAAAGGTGTCATAATGTTCGGAAACATCACTAGTAAACATACTAGGTGTAACATGACTGTTAGTATTGTGCGTCAGTGCTTTTACTACTATGACGAATTGTGCACGTGGTCCGTCATGCTGAGTTTGTGGAAGTGAGCTTCTGCACAGCAGAGTTAGGTTTCGATATTATCAGTGTAGAATGACATGAAACTCAGCCTGCAGCATTTCCTCAGTTACTGCCGGTCCCAAGACCGGGTAAAGGAGGAGGGTTGGGCATGGGGTGGGCATCCTCCTCCCGTAGAAGACTAACTCGCTAAAAAAACGCCTACCGGAAAAATAATTCCAACCATTTTAACTCTGCCCTGGGAGTTAGGTCTTCATTTAGAAGAATTATGACGCTTCATGGTGAAAGCCAAGTTCCTTAGGAAGCCACAAGGCCGATGCCCCTTCTAACAACCAGAGCAAACATTTTTATAGGTACATGGAACGTCCGAACAATGTGGGAGACCGGGAAGACCAGTCAAATAGCAAAGGAAATGAGGACATACAACTTGGAAGTACTGGGCATCAGTTAAACCCACTGAACCCAAGCTGGACAACAAAGGCTAGCTACGGGAGAGATGCTACTATACTCCGGTCACGAAGAGGAAAATGCTCCACACACTCAGGGAGTTGCTCTAATGCTATCCAAAGTAGCACGAAATGCACTTGTAGAATGGGAATCTCACGGATCGAGAATCGTCAAAGCATCATTCAAAACAAAGGAGGGGATCTTAATGAATATTATCCACCTACCAATGATAGCAACGACGACATTAAAGATCAATTCTACTAGGGGCTGCAGTCAATCATAGAGAAATGCCCACACCATTCTAAAGGGAGATCTAAATACCAAAGTCGGAATACACAACATCAGATATGAAGATATTATGGGACGACATGGACTCTGACAGAGAAACGAAAATGGGGAAAGATTTGCAAATCTATGTGCATTCAACGAATTGGTCATAGGAAGCACAATATTTCCAAACAAACGCATACACAAGGCTACATGGATCTCACCGAACCACACTACATAGAACCAGATAGATCATATTTGCATAAACAAAAAATTCCGAAGGACAATGGAAGATGTGAGAACCAGGAGAGGCGCTGACATAGCTTCAGACCACCATCTAGTTGTGGCCAACTTAATACTGAAGCTAAAAAAGAACTGGACAACTGGACAAACAGCATTATAAAGGTTCAATACTGCCTTCAAGATAGATCTCAACAACAGATTTCAAGCCTTACAAGATCTACTGAGGGAAGAATAAACTACTATGGAGGACAACTGGAAAAGTATCAAAGAATCATTAAGTACAATGTGTCAAGAGGTTCTGAGCCTAAAGAAACACCATCATAAGGAGTGGATCTCTATAGAAACTCTGGACAAGATCAAAGAAAGGAAGAACAAGAAGGCAGCAATTAACAACAGCCGAACACGAGCAGAGAAAGCCCAAGCACAAGCTGAATACACAGAAGCAAACAAACAAGTGAAGAGGAGCATTAGAGCCGACAAGAAGAAATACGTGAAAGAACTAACAAAGACGGCGGAAAACGCTGCTAGAGAAGGAAATATGAAACAGCTTTACGATACAAAGAAGAAACTATCAGGGAAATACAGTAAACCAGAGAGACCGGTCGAAGACAAAGAAGGCAAGTCAATCACTGAAATTCAACAACAGCGGAACAGATGGGTAGAATACTTCGAGGAACTCCTGAATAGGCCGGCTCCAATGAATCCACCGGACATCGAAGCAGCACAGCAAATGTGAAAACTACACAGGCATTACAATATTGTCAATACCAGGCAAGGTCTTTAACAAAGTGTTGCTGAACTGGATGAAAGATGTAGTAGACGCCCAACTTCGAGATCAACAACCTGGATTCAGTAAGGATCGATCGTGCACAGATCAAATTGCAACACTACGGATCATCGTCGAACAATCAGTTGAGTGGAACTCATCACTATACATCAACTTCATTGATTATGAAAAGGCATTTGACAGTGTAGATAGGAGGACATTATGGAAACTTCTTCGACACTACGGAGTTCCTGAGAAGATTGTCAATATTATCCGGAACTCATACGACGGACTACAATGCAAAGTCGTGCATGGAGGACAGCTGACAGATGCATTTCAAGTAAGGACCGGAGTCAGACAAGGCTGTTTACTCTCTCCCTTCCTCTTTCTTCTTGTGATCGACTGGATTATGAGGACCTCGATATCTGAAGGAAAACACGGAATACAATGGACAGCTCAGAATTAATTAGACGATTTGGACTTCGCAGATGACCTAGCCCTTCTATCGCATACACACGAACAGATGCAGATAAAGACAGCCTGTGTAGCAACAGTCTCTACATCAGTAGGCCTCAGCCTATGTTCCTTCACTAGGAGTAACCGGAGTAAGTAAGTAAGTTAGTAAGAAAGTAGGTGATAAACGTAAGAGTCTTGAACTTTAAAAAACTAGCTGTTTGTTCAAACACTACGTAGATAAAATACGCAAACAGGCGGAAAAAGCCTTTGAAGGTAAACGCTATGTAGAAAAATCTACACGCAATATTACAACAAATTACAGATTTACAATTCTCTCGTTTGGCGTACCAGATTAGGTCGGACTCACCACTGAAGATTTCAAAGATATTCAGGATTTGACAATCCTTGTATCCGTAACATACTTAGAATAGAAGGACACCAAGTCAAACCAAAAGTCAGGTATGAAGGAAGTTGAAGATAAATCTGAGAATCTGTCTTTCTGTAGAGTGACATCACATTTACGTGTCAGGAAGCGATCAATTAATGGAGTGTTAGGAAAGAGAGTCATGAAATAAAGACACATCGAAGTACAAGGTTAATCCAACTGATGATGATACAGGTATTGAGTGTTTGACAACTCTTCCACCAGTAACAACCTAATATAATTTGTTCCCACCGAGAGAAATCAAAAGACAGAGTCGAGGAGATCGGAAGAGTGTATTTGGCGATAACCAATATATCGGAATTCTCTGATCTAATCTGGCTGGCGATTGCGATAGATGTTGAGCACAGCGTTACCACATGTGATCTGGTGCGGATGCATGACTAAGCTCCTTCAGCTATATGAGTCCACATAAACATATGGTCAACATCCAATGTCGAAAACTTATAGAGCTATTTATTTTGGGGATTTATTTACCGCTACACAACTTTCCCTAGAAATTAAGCAATAGAAGATTAGTGAAGCGCCTTATTTGATGGCCAACGTTAAGCGCACATGTGAAGGCTTGGTAAGTGCATCCCTATGTAGTAGTCTTTCTGAGTGTATATTCTTGAAATATGCCCGATCCGTTTTCCTTCATTTGATTTTTAATTGTATGCAGCTATTCATACGTGTACGTGATACAGTAACGATTTTAATGTCAATTCATGCATTTGTTTACAAATGCAAGGTTTTCTGTGTGCTTACCCGAAATTAATAAACTTTTCCTCAGATTCTGGAAGTTGGGTATCTACTGGTCATTTTATATCTTCCCATATTGTACGCAGTACGAAAAGTTAATTGATGTCATTCTAGTTTTTGTCGCCTAGAAGTCTACAGTCTCTCGGACATATTGAAGGTTCTTAATAGTTCTCTTGTTTGTGGTTGACGTTTTGTGCATAAATCTCTGAAAACAAACTTTCTTATAACTTGGAACGTAAATAATTTATTTGTTTGTGGGATAATCTTGGTAGCTGGGGTTGTCAGTGCTTGTAAACAGTTATAGTCGGAATTAGTCGACCTCAACAGATTTTTAACCCATAGACGAAACAATTTGGAAATGGCCTCACTGAATCTATTTTTATGGACCTTTGGTCTTCTTTAGGTGTCCCTAAATGCCCTAGTACAGCCGAGAGTGGGGGGATTCAGCTCTCCATCTCGAAATGCTCTCATATGGCCATGTTAATACAACCACTGCCAGGAAAGCCCTACTCACTGCATTTTCATGGCGGGGGAGTGTGCTGGTTATAAAATTAAGATGATCGAAAGCAAATGTCTGGCGCTTTAACGGGGCTAGTGAGTACAGAGGATCTACCTAGGGGAGTTGAAAAACCCTAATTCCAAACCAATAGTGCACATGTGCTCCAGGATCCTGAGGAACAAATGGTGTACGAATCAGTCGTTGGTTACTGGCTACCATGGGACTGCATCTCCTTACGTTGCACCACAGTCTTATGGACTAGACCTCCAGGTTAAAGGCTTCGGGTGTAACCCCCTAATGAAACCATCTGCTTCGGTTTGGACACCCGGGCAGTATCCTAGCCCTCACACAAATCGGATGATTTATGTGGTGAGTATCTATTTGGTGCCTCCTTGTATTTATGTTTGTGTTTTAGTAACAATGATGATAATAATTTCATTAGGTCCTTGATTTTGTTTTGTTTTACTTCTTATATCAGCACTTGATGTTGCTTTCCACTCAATTACTTTATGTAAGCTCCAATTTGTATTTTAAATAGTTAATAAAATGCAATTTTACTATCACAACTGTGGACTTTTTTTGAGATTTATCAACACTGAATGACTACAAATCGGTAATCTAACCTTGCCTCGGTATGGGCGTCCCAGCAGTAATTCAGCCCTCAAACAAATCTAATGAAGTGTGGCTCATATATATTTGGTGCCTTCTTGTACCAACGTTTATGTTCAAATAGGTAAACAAATAAATTTCAGTAAACATGATTTGTGTTCCTTAACCATCAAGTTATCACCAGTAACTAACGCGACATCCTATCTAATCTGACATGTAAACCATAGGTTTTGTATTCCATTTTCACTTATGAATAAATTTCTAGTATCTTAAAAGTAACCTTTCAGTTTTCACGTGTTTCGACTTCAGATTGATTTTGAGTTTAACGAAGCAAAGTACGATTCGAGTAATCCTTTGGTTTTACCGGGAAAAAATGGGTCTGGATCCAAAGGAAAACGTCAATTGGACCGTAATCAAATCGTGCAAAACCAAATTTTATCAAAGAAAAGACGAAAAGAACTGTTGCGAAAAGTATCTCAAAAAGAGAAGAAACTATCGGTAACAGAAATTTCTATATATTTCGTGTTTAGCGTTCAGAGCTGTGGAGGGAATTAGAAGAGTATAAAAAACCTGAAACTACCCAACACATTTCTGTCTTACCTTTGTTCAACAAACCCAAATATTCGGAAAAAAAGCCAACCAAGTAAATCTGTTATTCTTATTTCCAATCCTTCAGTTGCAACATCAGGGGAAAGTCTTGGAAACAACAGTGTAATGACCTATCAGACACTTCCAAATCTACAGACGAATATAGCAGTGATGAGTCTGTATCAACAAACGAGGTTTCTTTTACGCCAGTGGCCTCAGAACAGGATCTTAACAACGACAAAGTTGGTGAACGCACACAAACCACTGTTGAAGACAAGTTTGAAAACAAACCTCTTGAGGCAGGAAAAGTTTCCAAACCTGCCCGGTTTGTTCTTGTTTCAAGAACACCTGAGGTAGCAGCATCTCGTCTCGCTCTACCGGTTTTGTCTGATGAGGCAACTATAATGGAAAGTATCAGTGAAAATGACTGCGTCATAATATGCGGCGCTACAGGTTGTGGTAAAACTACACAAATCCCGCAGTTTCTATATGAGGCGGGATATGCTACGTATGTGTCCTTGTTTTTTGGTGGGGTATATAATCTGTTTTAAACATTTTTCTTAGTATTAAATGGAGCGAAACGCTTGGTCTATATAACAATGCGAGTTAACATAATACTGATAACTTACGATTATGAAAAAGTGAACTTTCCATAATTTACGTATATTTGGGTTGAAACCACAATTTAAAAGTTCCATAACTGATTCCCGATTATTTGGCACATTCCAGTAGTCACCGGTTAATTTTTTTTGGCACACGGATTATAGTTCTCTGATTTTTTACTAACATTACTTATGTAGTCGTTGTTTATGACTTGACAAATTTGTGTTTTCGCATTCTCATAATCAACTCAGATTGAATCCATTTTTATCCGAGTCAATAAACTGATTGGTTTATCCTGAGTGACCAATATTCAAGTTGGAAATAGGGTAATTGTCATAGATGGCAAATTGGTTGATGAGCTCTTAAATTTCTATCGTTTTGAGTTGCTTAGGACATGTGTTACGTATGCCTAACCGTAGCATAACTTGACGAGCATTACTTGGTGTTGCAAAACTAGGATGAAAGAAAGCTAGGGATGACAAACAAAACGTAAGATCAGTTCATAAAGTCATTGATTGTTGGTCTGGGCTTTGTTGGTAAATGAAGACTACTTGGTTCAGGTCCGTGTGATAGCCTCCATCATTCGTTGGTGACTTTGGGTGACATGGTACAGAGTCGTCCACAGCGGTCCAGATCCATTTATTCTTGATACTCTTTTTCTTGAACTTCAGTATCCCTTCATGCAGATCTTTTCATCTTTTCAAACCATATTCCAAATGTTCATTCCTTGTTTTCATCATTGCTACCACATTATTCCTATCTCGTGCCGATGTAGTAAAGTAGCTCGGATCAGTGGACATCTGTACTGTGATCCATTTTGACGACGTGTCTGTCTTTCTTGGTTTATATGTATGGGGGGATTGTTTTATCTATACTTAAGTAATAGCTAGCTTTTCAGTGGTGTCAGTCAGTCAGTTACAACGTAGGACCAGGCACATATATGCATCGGTTCAAGTTCCCATACCTCATTAACATAGCAAGATGGACACCGGATTCATAAAAGTGGTTAGTTCAGAGGTGGTAATATACAAAAGAAAGATTGCAATAAGGATATAGTACAAGAAAAAAGAATTAGTTCGTAGAAAGAAAGATATGAAGCGATTTTAATCTCTTAGTTTAAGGGAAGACAGAGTGTATACACCGACGCCATTGTGACCGATTCTGAGCCATGTCACCAAGAGTCTCCAACCATTGGTTACGATAGTCACGCGGACCCCAATCAAGTAATCTGCATCTCCCATCATGGCTCGAACTAGAAGTTAGTGACTTCAAACACTGATGTCGCGCTTTGGTTTGGCCGCCCCTAACTTTCTTCCAACCATCTCCAACACCGGTGAGCATTGCACATCGTGGCAATCGGTGTTCAGGCATACGTAACACGTGGCCCAACCATCTAAGTCGATGGAGATTCACAACCTCATCAACTGATTCACTATCGTTCTCTAATACCCTGCGTCTAACCTCACTATTACTTACCCGGTGATCCCAGCAGATGCTAGCAATATTTCTAAGGCATCTGTGGTGTTGGTACCCTTCACTATGAACTATACATATTAGCTAATGGATCGTACGTTTAGACAAAAATACCTTCAATGTTATAAGATGTGTCTTTTAGGATTACAATCCAGATCACAACACTCCAACATAGTGTTCAGTAGAATAAACTAATTAACTCATATTTGAACAGCAGAGTTTTTATAGTATATTGCTTGTCAATCGAAGAGGCCATATTGAGAAATTGCTCGCGATTGGTTAACTGGCTAGTCACATTACACCATATGTCGTGGATCTATCTAGCGTGATTGCGCCTGATTGCTTCGAATATACCGACCTCTGACACCAGTCTCTTCTGAAGACATTGTTATTCAATGTTCTCTTCAATTCAACATTATAAGGGTTAACGTCTCGCTTATCAGTTGGGAAGGTATTAGTTTGTATTGCTCATGCGTCAATAACCGTACATGGAAATTAGGTTAGAATTCACCTATCTAGCTTTAAAGTGGGGTTGAAATCCTACTTCATAATGATTTTGTAACTAACCAATGCTTGGACACAATGTATGCCATCTGACACTTAGGATGATCATTGAATTTATCAGCCTAATATTTATTGTTATTCGATAACATTTATTTACGTTAGTAGCTTGAACGACTAGAGGTACCTATTGTGTAGCACGTTTCTTTATTATAAATTTCTTTTCATTATTTACAAGGGGTTTCATTGTTTATTACTGCTCATAATTTTTAGAGAGGGATATATGATTGGAATAACGGAACCCCGTCGTGTTGCTGCGATATCTATGGCACATCGAGTCGGTGAGGAACTAAATTTGACGTCTGGGTATGTTTACAGCATATCATAAAATGATGTATCCTGATAATCTATGACAAAAATTTCTGTTTATATAATTTAACTAGGTGGTAGTCTCTCATAAGTCCAATATAGCTGTATTTTTGTAGCAAATAGGTGTAATGGTCTCAGATTGTCACTTTGTAGGTATTTGATATTTGTTTTCTCAACAGCCTCAATCACATGTAATACTGGTTTTCCCTATTTCGGTCCGTGTTTGATATTCTTTTCAGTTTTCAAGCTAATACCAAATAATATGTAACTCTTAGTAGTATCCTATTGTTCAATGTTAAAAGTAGGAAACTATGTTAGAATTATTGATTGGTTGAAGTTCATCCACCGGTGGTTGAAATTCTTGACCTCTATTGATGAAAATCTATGGTTATGATTAGAAGTATTTATGAATAATTGATTGGTTAACTTATGTTTCAAAATTTGTGCTCATGTGTTTTAGAACAAACATTTTGTTGCTTGTAGTAACTTGTTGATTGACTGTAAATTGTACATTGTTGTAATCTGATTAGTAAACTGTTTTGATTAGATGTCAAAATTTACGTTTTCATGTTTCAATTCTATCTTTTAAAAAAAATCCGTTAGATGATCCCATCGTCGTTAAATTTAAAATTGTATCTTGTGAAAAAACCCACATCAAACCATATTGTACCACTGAGTGTTAAAAGATATTGAGATAAAAAAAAATAATTTTCTTATTGATCACGTAAAAGTGGAACTGAATTTGTTCAGTTATGTAGATTAAAGTCGTCACTGATTGTTATAAGAAAAAGACTATGCATGTCATTAAAAGTAAACTCGAGAACATTGATAACTATTTCTCGAACACGACACAGATTTGAAATTACGATGATTATTATTGTATCTGGAAATAAATTTTTATTTATTTATTTGAACATGTAAATATTGGTACAAGAGGGCACCAAATATATATGCGCCACACTATATTCGTGTGCGTGGGCTGTGATACTGCCCGGGTGCCCAGACCGAAGCAGATGGTTTTCTTAATGGGCCACACCCCAAGCCTCTGAACTAAAGGTCTGATCCACAAGGCCGTGGAGCATCGTGAGGAGATGCAGTTTTATGGTAGCCGGTGACCAACGATTGGTTCATACGCCATTTGTTCCTTCAGGATACTGGAGCCCATGTGCACCCTTGGTTTGGGATCCGGTTAAAGTGCCGGACATTCGCTTTTCGTCCTCTGTATTTCGTAAACAACACCCCTGCCACGAGAAGGCAGTGAGTAGGACTTCCCTGGCAGAGGCTGTATACGCGTGGCCGTGTAAGAGCATTTCAAGGGGGAGGGAGGGCCCACTTCACTCTCGGTCCTACCAGGGCATTTGGCGGCATCTTGAAAATAAATAATGTTTTTTAATTCATGAGTAGAAAACCTATTTCCATTTCAGTATTTCAGTGAATTATTTTAATTTGAGTTTGCACTAATCGTCGTACGTTTTTGAACATATGAATAAGTCACTTTGATAAGATGATGTTGAAGGTATATTTTAATCAGGCTAAACATGAATGAGTACCAGTTTACATTTTCATAAATGAATAATAATTTAAGAGAAATAAGCGAAGAATATTTCGGTGACATTTGTAAATAGTAATGTTTGATGTAATAGAGTTGTTTCTCTCACTTCAAGTAGTTATCAACAATATATGAATCACTGGACGACCGTTTCGTCCCTGTATGAGACTTCTCAGCAGTGCGCATTCATGATTCCACATGCGGAACTCAAACCCAGGACCTTTGGTCTCGCGCGCGAACGTTTAACCTTAAGATCACTTAAACCGATTCATGAATCCAACAATTAAATTACTGCAATCTCCACAAACTTCCATTCTGATGATAAATGAAGTATTATTTCCCCATAGTATCATAGTCCTTAGTCATTTAGATCGTTGTTGCGTGATTTCGCGAATTCACTAACATTAGAATTGCTCATTCTATGCTGTTGATCAGTGTATAATTATGATAATAAAAATTATCTCTATATTTAATTGTGTCAATCAGTTAGTGTGCTCGAGAACAGTATAATTCAACTCATAAATTAGTTGATACATTGTTGGTTTAAACGTAGATATGTATTTTACCTAACGCAATCATAATAGCAAATGTGTTGTAAGTACGCAGTAACATGAGATCATTATCTAAATTTTTCAATGTAATTTTATTATGAAAACAAATGATTATAATATTTTTAATATTAAATGTTACTGTTCACCTAATGACGCGGTTTTTCTTAAAGCATTTGAATAAACTGATTAGTGATATATGTTGTACTTCAGTGTTGCTTATTAGTCGAATCAGAAATAATTTCTCGAATAATTTCACCAATGGAGTTCGTATACACTGATAAAGAGTATAATGATTATTTCATATAATTTAGAATAAACATGATCCGATGTACCATGTTAACAAATATCTCTTGACAGTGAATGGACATATAATTAAGCCTTAAAGCAAATATACAAGGGCAGTAACCACAGAGCTGAACGTATTCTTCAATTTTCATGCATGGGTGATTTAATGCATCATTATACACATTACAAGATGTAACAATTTCATATTACAGGAAAGCTATACTTTTACTTTCAGCTTTAGATCAAACAAATATGATGCATATGTGACCAGAATCATTTATAAATGATACAAAGATATAAGTCCAATTATAGATCGTAATAGCTTGATTATGTGTTTAACTATATTACCCCGCATTAATTATCAACCATACAACTGTTATCAATTATTTTACATTGTATACATGTTAACAGTATACTTATTTTAAAACTTGTCATTATTCCAGTGTAAACGGCTTCTCGTAATAACGATTAATCTTAAGTTGAAACATCATAAAGAAGGAACGAGTAACGTTAATGTTCAATTTCTTTTGTTTTTTTGAACACATGAGGACGGTCGCAATTTTTTACTGGCGAAAGTAAGGAACGGAACTGATGCAATTAAAAAACTAGTTCATGTATATTTTAAACTATACGCACTAACAGATGGGCTCTTATAGATAGTGCAAGAAACATATGGAATGTAAAATGACATTAAAATCAAGTTATGGATAGTCCTTAAAACGGTCTTTTGGTTCTAATTCCATACTCATTCATCCTCCGCAGTTTTGCATCTTCCCAGTCTCGCATGCCATCGTCCGTAACACATCTTGAAAAATGAAAAACGTTCGATCATCAGAGAGTAAGTGAAATATCAACTTACCATTTTATCCGTAATACCAAGTTTCGACACGGCCAAGTCTTCCATTACACTATAGCGGCTCACATGCCATTGAGTTTGTTCTCATTTAACCCAGTTAAGCCCTTTTGCTAACTTATTTACCCACACTATAACAACTTGTTGTACTTTTATTATTATAGTACTTGTATGAATATGTGTGAACAAATATCGCTTACCACCAACGCGTATATTCATTCTGCCAACTTCATTATTAACTGCTTAATCTATTCCATGACTCATTCATTTCCTTATATATATACATTTACACTTACTACTACTACAATCACAGTTCGCTTGCTCATTCGTTTTGCCTCTCTGCTGTGTGGTCCGAATTATCTGCTAATAAAACTGTAGTAGCTGCTTCTTTTTACATTCTGATTTCAAACACCGTTGAAGATTATACGATAACGGTTCGAGGGTGATTAGTTACCGAAGCACAGCCTCTACAGAACTACTAATCCCGACGTGAGAACAGGAAGCGAATTTCGATGAAATAATCAAATCCCAAAAATCCGACGCACTTCATCTCAATTTGGATTATCATATGAACTATAATTACAACTGTGGATTTATATTACTATTTTAATTACACTTACATTATTTCACAAACAGTATTAAACGTGACGATCATAATCATAATAAATAACGATTATTCATAAACAATTGATATATTGGTGCAACTTAGCAAGTCTGTTCCATTTTATAAATTGTACCATTTTTTATTATCATTGTTTTTGTCCGTCTATTTTTCCTTATGACAGTTACATTATTTTCGTGTGCTACTTAATTTTTTATAAACCTGTCTTACGAAAACACAGTGTCAAGCGTACAGCAAACCTCGTCCGTGAGGTCTCTTAACCTTCCTGCCCCTTCTTTTAAAGTCACAGACCCAAAACTTTGGTTTATAAGACTTAAAAATGATCTCCTCGCTAACCGCATTCTCTTGCAAAAGGATAAATTCGGCCTCACAAGCACACTACTCCCAGATGAAGTAGCAGACAGCGTTCGAGAGGCATTAGCAAAACCAGACACTGAAAAACCATACGACGCGCTAAAAGAGGCAGTAATTAAAACTCTCTCAGTGACCAGCAAGCTGTCGAACAGTTCCTTAACCAAGTACAAATTAGAGATAGAACCCCGTCACAACTAAAAATTATATGAAAAGTCTACTTGGCGATAGGCACATTGACAATAACCTCTTTTACCAACTGTGGCTCCGCCGACTCTCGGCAAATATACAGCAGATCCTAGCTGTGGGAGATACGGACGCTGATTTAGAAAACATAGCAAAGATAGCTGATAGAATATACGAGGGTGATTAGTTATCGAAGCAAAGCCTCTACAATACTAGTGCCCTCCATACTGTAGCTGAAATCGTGGATGTGCGGTATAGGGTATCTGTCAGCTACTGTTTGTTTGTTCAGTGCTCTGTAATCTCCACATGGCCTAACCTCTCCATTCTTTTTCGGGGCCATAGGTAGCGGAGATGCCCACGGGCTGTTCGATGGTCTTACGATGCCTAGCCTCATCAGCTTGTCGAATTCTTGTTTTGAGATAGCTAGTCTTTTGGGATTTAACCTTCTTGGTCTTGCATTGATTGGTGGACTATTCGTTACGATGTGATGCTGAATAGAATGTTCGAGATCCGCTTTATTGTATGTTACATTTACGAGTTCAGGGAACTCCTTTAACAACAATTTATATGGATCATTGCGACTTTTATCTATCACAAGGTTCATTGAGACGGCTTCCGTAAGCATTCCTCTTATCGAAGTGGTTTGACTGCCGTTTATAAGTCTGTGTCGTCGAGCGTCTACTAGCAGGTCAAAGTTACATAGGAAATCTATGCCTATCTGATTTGTTTTCTGCTCTTAGCATTTATGACAGATTAACTTTTTTTCTTTCCTTGTTAACTAGAGGTACTACGCTAATTTCCGCTTTAGTGTCAACTAAGAATTGTGCGGCAGTGGTTCAGTCTTGTATATAAAAGAGGCGACTATTGTCAGGCCTTATGTGTTGATGTAACTTTGACTTACTAGTAGACTCTCGACGACACAGACTTATAAACGGCAGTCAAACCACTTCGATAAGAGGAATGCTTACGGAAGCCGTCTCAATGAACCTTGTGATAGATAAAAGTCGCAATGATCCATATAAATTGTTGTTAAAGGAGTTCCCTGAACTCGTAAATGTAACATACAATAAAGCGGATCTCGAACACTGAGAGAGTTTTAATTACTGCCTCTTTTAGCGCGTCGTATGGTTTTTCAGTGTCTGGTTTTGCTAATGCCTCTCGAACGCTGTCTGCTACTTCATCTGGGAGTAGTGTGCTTGTGAGGCCGAATTTATCCTTTTGCAAGAGAATGCGGTTAGCGAGGAGATCATTTTTAAGTCTTATAAACCAAAGTTTTGGGTCTGTGACTTTAAAAGAAGGGGCAGGAAGGTTAAGAGACCTCACGGACGAGGTTTGCTGTACGCTTGACACTGTGTTTTCGTAAGACAGGTTTATAAAAAATTAAGTAGCACACGAAAATAATGTAACTGTCATAAGGAAAAATAGACGGACAAAAACAATGATAATAAAAAATGGTACAATTTATAAAATGGAACAGACTTGCTAAGTTGCACCAATATATCAATTGTTTATGAATAATCGTTATTTATTATGATTATGATCGTCACGTTTAATACTGTTTGTGAAATAATGTAAGTGTAATTAAAATAGTAATATAAATCCACAGTTGTAATTATAGTTCATATGATAATCCAAATTGAGATGAAGTGCGTCGGATTTTTGGGATTTGATTATTTCATCGAAATTCGCTTCCTGTTCTCACGTCGGGATTAGTAGTTCTGTAGAGGCTGTGCTTCGGTAACTAATCACCCTCGAACCGTTATCGTATAATCTTCAACGGTGTTTGAAATCAGAATGTAAAAAGAAGCAGCTACTACAGTTTTATTAGCAGATAATTCGGACCACACAGCAGAGAGGCAAAACGAATGAGCAAGCGAACTGTGATTGTAGTAGTAGTAAGTGTAAATGTATATATATAAGGAAATGAATGAGTCATGGAATAGATTAAGCAGTTAATAATGAAGTTGGCAGAATGAATATACGCGTTGGTGGTAAGCGATATTTGTTCACACATATTCATACAAGTACTATAATAATAAAAGTACAACAAGTTGTTATAGTGTGGGTAAATAAGTTAGCAAAAGGGCTTAACTGGGTTAAATGAGAACAAACTCAATGGCATGTGAGCCGCTATAGTGTAATGGAAGACTTGGCCGTGTCGAAACTTGGTATTACGGATAAAATGGTAAGTTGATATTTCACTTACTCTCTGATGATCGAACGTTTTTCATTTTTCAAGATGTGTTACGGACGATGGCATGCGAGACTGGGAAGATGCAAAACTGCGGAGGATGAATGAGTATGGAATTAGAACCAAAAGACCGTTTTAAGGACTATGCATAACTTGATTTTATTGTTTTGTTTTATTTCGTTACATAGCTTGAATACTTAAATCGATGCACTTATGTTTTTATTTATGTACTGTTCATATTTGATAGGAACTGTTTATTTACATAATGATGCCAACAATTTTTATATCCAACTTATGTCCATCTCTTCACCGTTAATTAGAGTATCGCAGTAATTATCTTTCAGGGTAATTCACTAGACTTTATTTGAAAATTTTAAGTTAACACTACTTTCTTTCTTATACCATTCAGACAAGTTTCTTATCATATACGATATGATAAAGAAGTAACCAAAGAAACGTTGATAAAATTTATGACAGACGGGATATTGTTACAAGAAATAAAACAAGTAATTCTAAGTATTATTGTTACATAAATTTCGCTGGTTGAACAACTTTGTCTTTTTAAGCATTTGATTTGCATTCATGTACTCTACCTGTAAAAATTATTTTACTCACAGATTATTTACCTTAACCCAAACATACCACCGACAGGATAAACTACTAGCAAATCTATAATTCAAACACTGATAGTGTTAGTTTTCATTGTCTCTTTTTGTAAGTGAAAGTAAAATTAACCTACTATCGTGATTTCAGATCGAGTCAATTGAAGGAAACAGATAAACATGCTGCATAGTATTGTAATATATAAATTTTCAAAGAAAGAAATGTCATTATTTTATCAATTATGAAAGGAAAGCATTACTGTTTTTTCAAATGGTACATCTTACATTATGTTAATTAAATGGATAAACCGTTATGACCTTGAATCGCTTTTACCCCGTGATACTTGTTATGACTTCACCTTGATCTGTCTAGACTAAACTATGACCTTGACGCGATAGGGTGAGCGGCTTAACCTTGAGTCTATCACGCGTGAGTTCGAGATGGGGTAGAGAGATAACTATTCTAGAACCTGATTGGTTGGCAAGCTCGTAAGTGAGAGAAGACAAGACAGTTGGAACACTGAACTCTGGATTCTCTGAATTCGGATTAGTACAAAAATGTACATGAATAAATAAGTGAATATCTTGACCACGATGTACGATAATTTGGAAAAATAGAGTTATGCCCGAAACAGGGAATTAGGGTAGAAAATACAGTGCAAAATATTATGTTTAAATTACAATATTTGCGGAACAAAAAAGAGTATGCTAGTGAATGATACATAGAACGAAAGCTCGTGTTATGTAGAATAAGATAGGGACAAAAATAAATATAAGTTTTACAGGGTTTGAATAAAATGCAATAACGTCCCAAGAAAATAGCTTTCGTAATTGTCTGGGCTTCTTCATTCCCCGTTCATAACATAAACATTTTAAAACTGTAGTCACATAGTTTGACGTAAACTGATTTTGTTGCAACCTTTTCATCGAGTATACTTTATGAGCAGAGGTTTTCTTGTACAGTATTCTTTTGAGAATTAGCATATAATTTACTTTAAAAAATATCTCTTTTCTGCTCAGAAGTACGTAGATTCAAGGTAACTTATTTAAAAAAATACATTCTAAATATTATTGAAAAGGAGTTATGTAATAATTTAATGGTCAATGAAAAATGTTAAGATAATTTTCCACTTGATAAATATGAAAAGCAGAATAACCCAATGTTGTATGAATGACTAAATACTTATGAAGAAATAACTAGAAAGCAGTAGACAAAACGACAGATTATGAAAGACAGGAAGGAGTATGTCTTTTTTTTCATAATTATTATCTTATAATCTTCAGTATGGGTCTCCATAAGTTTTGTTTATTTTCAATTTTAATCTCATACATTTTATTTGATAACGAGTTTACTTCAATAAAGTTAAGACTAACAAAATAATTGTGAATTGTATTCATTGTATCAACTTTATTTCTTTTTGCTAAAACATATTTTTCTATTTTAAACTTTGTTAAGGACTTTGAACTATCAAAATATTCTGTCATAATTGTGGATGAGGCTCATGAACGTTCAATTTACTCTGATGTTATTCTTGGTCTTATATCAATGGTAGTACGATTACGTCGTCAAAGGTTTACCGATAACATACCAACAAATGGTAAAGTACTGTCGCCACTGAAATTGATTATCATGTCTGCAACTTTAAAAGTAGACGATTTTGCTGGAAATCGTCGTTTATTTCCACACAATCCGCCTCCAATAATTCATATCGAATCACGTCAGTATCCTGTAGCATGTCATTTTGCCAAAGTAACACATCTAGATTATCTGAAGGCCGCATTTCGAAAGGTGAATGATTGCATTTATGTATAACCTGTATTACGGATTGATATGACAGCGTGATACCACTTCTGACTATAACTGAAAATGTGAAAAACATGTCTCAGTTGCCCCATTCAGTGAATTTTATAGTCATTAGACAATTTAACAAATTCGTTTATTACTATATGTATATATAACTTCTGCATTGATTACTAAGTAATTTGCTCGTGCACAACTAATCATACAAAATAACAGTCAAATGCTTACAACATATACTTACCCACAATCTTTAAATTATATATTACACTTATAAAGTTTATTTATTTATTTGAGCACATAAATATTGGTACAAGAGAGCGCCAATATATATGCGCCACACAAAACAATGAAAATTCGAAGAGAGAAAAGAAAAAAAAAACTAAGGAGCACAAAAGAAAAAGAGAACGATAACAAAGAGATTGGTGAAAGGTAGTGCGGTCGTAACGATGGAACGGAAAGGTACAATCGAAAGAAATCTTTCAAGTAAGGGAGACACAACCACTTTTTATGAAGAAAGTAAAAGAAGGTTACAGCAGGATCGCCACTGGCTTCTATTCTGAGCCATATCTGTTAACGTCTCTAGCCACTGTGTAGCACCATCTCTCAGACCCCAACCAGGGAGTCGTGAAGGACCGACAGAAGCCAGTCCTTTGCAGCTTTCTTTCATACCACGACACCATGTCATGCACTGACCACCTCTCCGCTTTTTCCAACCAGTCCCAGAGTCGGCAAACAATGCACGACGTGGAATTCTCTGCGACGACATTCGTAGAACATGTCCAAGCCACCGAAGTCGGTGTTTCAAGATGGTGACACCAGTTGAATTATCATCTCTGTGCCCAAACACACGATGCCGAACCTCTGCATTACTAACATGGTGTTGCCACTGAATGTCAGCAATCCTTCGGAGACAGCGATGATCGAACACAGAGAGTCGTCTAACGTCCTCAACTCGGAGAGGCCAGGTTTCACAAGCATAGAGCAAAACTGCTCTCACCGACGCGTTGTAGATCCGACCTTTTACAGCCAGACTAACATCACGAAGGCGCCAAAGGTGGCCCAGATTGGCATAAGCCGCTCTGGCTTTCACTATACGTGCATTGATCTCATCACTCACACCCCCACCAGCACTTATGCAGCTACCCAGATACACGAACTTCTCGACTACTTCTATCTGCTCACCATCCAGGGTGAGTACAGGATTAGAATCCTGCCAGTCTTGTAGAAGTACTTTGCACTTCGAAGGTGCAAAACACATACCATACCTACGGACACTGATTGCCAACTGATTAAGTGCGGATTGCATGCCTTGGGCATTATCGCACAGTAAGACAATATCGTCCGCATACTCAAGGTCGAGAAGTCTTTCTCCAGGCAACAGATCCACACCACCATTACTTACATTCATCAGAGCTGTTTCCAGAATGTCATCGATGGCAAAGTTGAAGAGGAATGGTGAGATTGGGCAACCCTGCCTAACCCCACTACTCGTATAGAACAATGGAGAGAGGTGGTTGTATGCCCTCACTCTGCCTGAGGTGTTTTTATATAGGGCTTTTAGGATGTTAATAAACTTCTCAGGCACACCCTTCTTCAATAGACAATCCCAGAGAACAGTCCTGTCCAACGAATCGAAGGCAGCCCTGATGTCAAGAAACACTACGATTGTTGGCCTTTGATAAGTATGGCGATGTTCTAACATTTGGCGGAGGGTGAAGATATGATCAATACAACCTCGACCAGAACGAAACCCAGCCTGCTCCTCGCGAGTCAATCTTTCTCGGGTTTTGAACAACCTACGAAGTATGACGGAAGCCAATAGCTTGGACGCAATCGGAAGTAGACTTATCCCCCGATAGTTGTTGCAGGAACGACGTGAACCCTTTTTAAAGATAGGGACAACTATCGACTCATTCCATGACGTTGGTACACTCTCTAATTCCCAAACCTTTGTAAACAACGTCGTCAATTCCTTAGTCAAAAAGTCACCACCATCTTTAAAAAGAGCCGGAGGTAAGTCATCTGGGCCAGGTGATTTGTAACGCTTCAAGAGTTGGAGTTCCTTGCGGACTTCCTCCTCGTTCGGTGGATCAGTCGTCACCGGCCATGGAGGGCAGGACAGTCTGACCGATGTTGCCGGAGCAGCAGGCCAGTTGAACTGCCCTTCGAAAAATTCTGCCCATCGTCCAAGACGTCGATGGATGTTAGTGATTGGCATCCCATCATCCTCGCAGATTGTTTCACTCACACCAGACTTCTTGCTGCCAGTGGCTCGGATGAGCTGGAAGAGCTTCCGGTAGTTACCAGATGCAGCTGCTGCTTCCATCTCATTAGCACGCTCCGACCACCAGGCTTCTCGGTCCTTACGCAAGCTTTGCCCAATTTCCCTACGTAACATCCTTCGTTTATGGTCAAACTCACGGTCACCCGGAGTCGACCGACGGGCTTCAATAAGTTGTAAGGAACCAGAAGAAACCCAGTGCTTATAAGCGGGACGTTTCGCAAACCCACAACTGACTGTTCCCGCCATTTTCATGGCGTCATGCAATTGCAACCAATGCTCATCTATACTTTTCGGTGGAGTGGTAGCTAGCCTAGAAGCTAGCTCGGTTCGATACTTATTTGCAACAGAGGTTGCAACCAGCTTGCTAATATCAATCCTTTGGTGGTGGTCACTTCGTTGTCCACTGAAAAGTAAGGCAAGATTGGCGCAGACCAAGGCATGGTCAGAGTCCAGATAGGTACTCCAAAAGGAGCGGCAGTCTTTTACACAACCACGCCAGCGGAAGCTGATCGCGATGTGATCAATCTGAGTCCAGGCTTGGGATGCAGAGGGAGGACGCCAGGTGGCACATCGGCGATGACTGTGCCGAAAGTTAGTGCTAGCCAGAAACAGGTTGTGGTCTGTGCAAAGTTGCAGTAGACGGTCCCCGTTATCTGACCTGCGACCAACGAGTCCCCATCGGCCACCTAAACGACTCTCTTCTGTGCCTAGACGCCCGACCTGCGCATTCAAGTCTCCGGCTAGTACTACAATATCTGTCGAGCGCACTTTCTGGAGAAGAACAGACAGCTGGTGGTAAAACTCATCCTTGATTGCATCCGGGCTGCAATCTGTCGGGGCATAGGCGGAGATGACGAAAAGACATCGTTTCTCACGCCGATTTCTTCTCACTTTGATGGAACTTTCTAATCTAACAGCACATAACCGACTGTTAATGGGGATCCAATCGACTAGTGCTGCCTCAGCTCTAGCGCTTAGTGCGACACCAACGCCAGCAAGACCAGACGAAGATGCCACAGGGTCCCCGGATAAGCGCACGTAAAACAAGCTTTTCGAAGCGACAGATGGAGATCGAATTTGTAGTACTTCGCCAGAGTCTTGAATACGGGTCTCGGATAGACAACAAACATCAATATTGATACTTTCCAAAGACATAGCCAGCCCTATCTGTTGTCCGACCTGCATTAGTGTGCGAACGTTGAAGGCAGCCAGTTTGAATGGTGCACGTGGTTTCAGAAAAACTGCTTCAGTTCTCGTATTCGGTGGTAACATACAATTTTCAACCGAACAGTGACTCGAGAACGTTTAGATACAGTCGAATTTCCACCAAAGACGAGCCGCTGTATAAGTATAAAAGAGGGTGAATAATGTGGAAAATAATAATAATAATAATAATAATAATAATAATAATAACAATAATGGTAATAATAATAATGGTATTAATAATGACAATAACAGTAATAATTATTTGAATCAATTGAATGTTGATCGGAGAGAGGAAATTAGTTGCCGTAGTCATAGAGTTCATTGTTTGTGTGTGGGCTGTGATACTGCCCGGGTGCCCAAACCGAAGCAGGTGGTTATCTTAGGGGGCCACACCCCGAGCCTTTGACCTAATGGTCTAACCACAAGGCAGTGGAACATCGTGAGGAGATGCAATCCCATGGTAGCCGGTGACCAACGATTGGTTCATACGCCATTTGTTCCCGCAGGATACTGGAGCCCATGTGCACCATTGGTTTGTGATCCGGTTAAAGCGCCGGACGTTCGCTTTTCGTCCTCTCATTTTCGTAAAGAACACCCCCGCCACGAGAAGGCAATGAGTAGGACTTCCCTGGCAGAGGCTGTATACGCGCGGCCGTGTGAGAGTATTTCGAGAGGGAGAGCGGACTCTCCCCACTCTCGGCCGTACCAGGGCGTTCGGGGGCTAAATACACTTTAAACTACCCACCTTTTGATTGATAGACCGAACACCTTAATTGAGTCACATGTAGCACAATAAGGCTAAATAAACAATGATTGGGCATAGTAATTATCATTTATAAACTTCGTCTTTTTGCTGCGTCCCATTACTTTGGTAAAAGCAGCATATTTCTGAAGTGGATACACGAAATTTGTAAGCAACATTAAGGTGCACTTTTTACAAAGACTGTCGGTACTTCAGTATATAGAAACGTTTGGTTTATCATAACCTTTTACTGTTTCAATAAATCCGTACTAGTGTTCAATCAAGACATTATTTTATAAATTTGCCGTATTCCACGAAGTATCATAAGCAGTGAGTGACATTTAATATTTGTTAGATCACATATTTTTTTTTCTTTAAAAAGCTCCCATTCTATAAAATACATCAAATTGACTTGTTTTATTAACCTCCTATGCATATCACTAACTACTGATTAACATTGCCACTCATAAACTTTTATTTCATCAGGTTGTATCAATTCACAAGACTTCACCACCTGGTGGAATTCTTGTATTTGTCACTGGTCAGCAAGAAGCAAATACACTTTGCAGTTGGCTTACAAGGGCTTTTCCAAAGATGGATGATCAAAAAGTAAATTTAACAAATGAAAAATCTACTAAAACTCATAAACACCAGAAAGAAACGAAGAAATTAAAGGAGTCTGTCAATGCAACCGCTTCCTCAAATTCATTAGATAGTACCGTTTTAGAAGAAAAAGATCAGTTTAACTCAGGCATAGATCTGAACAAGTGAGTTAAAATACAATCCTGAATATTTAGAAAAAAAAACTGACTACTATGAACAATAAACGAATAATAACTATGAATATGAATGAACAATTTAAGTAAATGATTTCATCGAAAAGAAAACTTTCTTCGCAAAATTCCTTATTTTTACTCACTGACACAATGGGTTATTCTAATTAATCATTTAACTATTAAGTATTATGACTGAAAGTATGTGATCATATTAACGCAATTTATCTAGATCGGTAATAATTACAGACCTACATAGATGTTTCTTTCCAGCTGTTTGCACTTTTGATCCAACTATTCTATGCTACATATTTACTACGGTTCATATTCCGTCTCCCTTACATTGTCATCATTGTAAACCTTTTTAGTTACTTTTAAACTCTACATTTTTTGCATATTTGGATTACACTATCATCCGATGATCGTATTAATAGTATTGTTCGAAAATGAACTATTCACTTTACAGTTTATTCGTAAGTTTGCTAACCGAGAGTTTAATTTCGACTTTCAAGGTTGACTTTCGAATTAACAAGGCATAACACTCAGTAGAATAACAGGTCTTATTTTTATCAAATCCGTAAGACATTTTATTCCATCTAGTTTATCAACACAATACGGTTGGTTACCAGTGGACATTTTATTATTTCCAAGTGGCATAGTTTCGTACGTAGTGTAGAATCTTAAGTATTGTTATTTTTCAAGTCATTTTACATATCGTTTTCTACTCCAGTTTTTGCCAATAATCTACTTATCAATATAAGGTTGTGGAGATTGTTGGGTTTCATTGAAATACCCACAGAAGGCAATAGAAGGTGGTTGCGCAATGTCGTAAACTGACTAAAGTTTGACATGTACACCATTGGACACTAGCTCAGTGGTCTAGAGGTTAACCGTTCGCGAGTGAGACTGAAGATCCTGGGTTCGATTTCTGGCTGTGGGGTCGTGGGTGACCATTGCTAAAGGATCTCACACTAGTGCGAAACGGCCGTCCAGTCCTTCCATGTTTCCAACGATGGTCTAATTTTTGTCGGTTCATGATCTCAATTAAATAATCTACTTGATTTTTGGTTGATAAACTGTAGCATAACTGTTTGTGTTACCATTAGTCTTTTAAGTAATATATATTTTTATAAAGTTAGTATTTACTTAATTATTATTGAACATATAAATTTGTGATTATCTGCATATTTCCCCTTCTAGCTTTGATATTATTCCTGTTGATGAAGAAACGGAAATCGGTCATACTCGAATTAATTCTAAGGAAGTTATTTCAACGAAAGAAAAACAGTCGAATAAAATTACTTATGAGACGGTGAATGATAGTGATGTTGAAGAGATTGGTGAAGATGATGATATACTCGGGCAAATTAATGAAATTCGTGATGAATCTTATCCGGTAAGTTCAGGTTGATGTATGATTGATTGAAATCCATGACAGGTACTTCGTCATACTGACAGAATCTTATTTGATTATGAATTGCTTGTACTCTGTATAATATATATTCTATTTTGTAACTAAAAGTCATTCTTATTGTTGACCGGACTTAGTACAGTACTTTAAACAAAAATCAGTTTGTCACATGTAAGCACGTTGTATCAAAGTGTCTACTGTAAAATATTCTACTGGATAATTTAATAAATTGATTTAATAGTATTTTTTTGGTTGGATTTAAGTTGGCCTATTGTATTTGTCTTAATTGCTGAATGATACATTTTTCAGCAATCTTGGTGTTATAATCTCTCTTCTTACGGTATGACCCAGCTATTCCTATTGCTTAGTATTCTTGGACACCAAATCACTCGACAAGACCCCCAAATCAGAACACGGTTGAACAGGAAAGAGATTATATTCCAAATAACAAGGTTAGATGGAAGTAAGATGCAAGTAAGAAGCACAATAGAGAAAACGTTAGTATATTTATAGTTTTTACTTGAGAATGTTCTAGAGTATTCTTCAACTATCGATTAGTGCTGATTGGATAAGTGTGCACCAAAGCAATCGTGCATTGAGCATGCTTTAATCCAGTCTTTGTCCCGCTAACACTTGGTTTGTATTGATGTGCTATTTTGAAAACTTATCTTAGTTCCAACCTGATAAAGAATGCTTTATCTACTCGTTTAATTTTTTTGTTTTGAGTAACTGTCTTACATCAATAGTACATTGTCGCTCAAGTATTGTGACTTTTAACATTATAGATTATTTTACATATCCGTAACGATTTACATAATGGAATACCCGTAGTGTAAATATCAGATGTGTTTTCCATTCTGTACATTTTGAGAATTAAACGTTTAGAGAATCAGTTTTACTTGTATTATTCCTTATTAGCTAAGTTAAATTGATGGATACGCCACATAAACTTTAAAAAAAAACACTTCAGATTTTTCAACTTCACTCCATGGAGCTGTTCAGCTTCATGAAAGCTGTCTTCTATATTGGTTAAATCCGGGATTTTCTGTTAGGTCACTGTATGATTGCTTCAGTTTTAGTCAAAATATAGTTATTAATTTATATTTTTCACATCTGTGGAATTTCATATTTCATTAGTATACCTAATTAAAACAACTATGAGTGGTATAATTAAATATATTTTTTATCTATTTATGTACTTACATGGTTGTAGGGACCAGTTTACGCTTTACCATTTTATTCATTATTATCACCGGAACGCCAACAAAGTGTATTTCAGCCACCACCTGAAAATCATCGTCTCATTGTTGTTGCTACGAATGTTGCAGAGACTTCAATCACAATCCCGAATATTCGATTTGTTGTAGATACTGGCAAGGTAAGTTGTTTTTGGTTATTTTTCTCCCATAGTGTTTATTAATTTTTGCTCTTTACACCTATTGTTAATTGGTAACTGGTTTCGCTGTTTAGGGCCGTATTCTACTGATAGTCGTGTTATCTTTTATATCGGTCGATTTGAAAGGTGGGAGTCTATAATTCGTTTTCGTAAACCGTTATCAGTCAGTCACATTGTATCATGACAGAACATTCGTTGGTGAACATTCTAACATTTGATGACAGAAACTGTGACTAATCTCCAAAATCCAAACCTATACCCTCCATAATATCATGACTTAGCACATTTGTGTTTTGTATGACAGAATAATTGATTTGATAAAATTACTGATAATGTCTTTACGTAGTTGCTGACCGAATCCTAACCATATAGATAACGTATTTACTATTTATTACCTGAATATATATAGTTCAACCCAAATATTTTATGACCAATAGTTACTCATCAGATAACAAGCGATTTGTCAAAAATGAAAACAAATTTGACTAGACGACCAATGGATTTTCTCCGCTCGTCATATAATCTTTAATTAAAAGTGTAGGATCTATGAGAAGTGACAATTGCAGATGTTTAGCACTCTTAAAGCACTAAAATCCTTATCGTATCCTTGTATATACCAGGTTGGCTATATTTCGTTGTCTTAGTTCATGGGTACCACATTTCAAATATCTAATAACAAATAATCTGCCATGTGAATGCTTAACTGATTGTTACTACGATTCTTTAGCATTTACCGTCTCATTTTCCGTACAACTGAATGTATGACAATAGGCCTACTGAATTCTAACTGACCTAGGACCACTTTGAATTAACGGACATTCCCTCCTTCCCTATACTATTATGTTTGTTTACATTTCCCCTGCAGTTCTTTTTGTGATAATTTTCCTATTACGAACATTATTACTATTACTACCATTATTATTATTATTATTATTATTATTATTATTATTATTATTATTATTATTATTATTATTATTATTTGATTGCGTCACACTAAAATGTCGCAGTTTCGTAATGATATATTCGTTATATAATTAAAAGTTATTTAGTCTCTTTACACCAGTTATTAACATATTCTTTATTGTGAAAATAAAATTCACCTGTTCACATATCTTACTGTTTTCCAAAATATTTCTAATAATAACTCGATGGATTGTAATTATTTTTAATAAAATAACAAATGCTTTCTGCATAGGTGAAAACCAAAGTTTATGAACCAGCTACTGGGACTTCTAGTTTTGAAATTGTCTGGATTAGTCAAGCATCCGCTGAACAACGTGCAGGAAGAGCTGGTCGTATTGGGCCGGGGCATTGTTATCGTCTTTATAGTTCACAAATCTTTTCAAGCATGAAACAATTCTCTACTCCTGACATACTTTCACGTCCTATCGATGAAGTGGTTTTAATGTTAAAGGTAATAACTAATTTAAAAAATATCTTGCCAAAACAAATTAAATTACTACTGTTTTCTCCTTATGGCCTGCTAATTGTCACGCGATACGATCGCCAATAAAAACACCGACTTACTGACCAGAGCTACCAGTAAGAGCAGTCTAGAGTCAACTTTGTGTTCTTATTGTTCCACCGAGATAGTAACTTCTCGCCTAAACTAGCCAGTCTAGTCCAGAGCACCAATATCAGCCTCCGCTATTTCAATCATGTGTTTCAGACATACTTGGTTTATATACAAACAGACCAGATCACGTCATACTATAAAATTAAAAATAACAATTATACAAGATCAGTCAAAAAGTGGCTATAATTATCAGAGACTAACCAATAAATTAAGAATAACTTACGAAATTGTAAATCGTATAATAGCATTCAATAGGTCGAATAAAAGCTTATAATAAGAAAAATATAAATATCTATAATCTGTTTACTAAACAGTTATTCAATAAGAATATATATAATAAAAGTCCATAAATAGCGATTACAATTTACTTGTTCTTCCTCCAGATATAACAACTACATATGTAATTGATAAATATTTTTAATTTCAATAGTTGAGATCATGAGTCAATCTGGAAGCACTGGACTGCCGTTCCGCCCTATTGCGTGACTCATCAACAGTGCGCACTCACGATCCCACCTCGCGGGATTCGGACACAGAACCTATCAGTCTCGCTCGCGAGCGCTTAACCACTGATCTGGCATCCAACGGTGTTAATGTCTAACTTCAACTAATCCACGAGCTTGAGCGACACATCCACCATTTTCATTAGTGAGTTACTATCCCACAACAGACGCGGTTGAACTCCACTGGTCACTGCTTCTCACTAGAACTCCAGGAATTACCTCTTTAAAGCCATATATTTTTAACTCAGTTGTTTTTTCTGTAGATGCCAATTCGAATTTCTTTAATTATTGTCTTCTTCGTTTTAAATAAATTATGAAAATATTCATTATTAAATTAAGATGCTCAAGTAATTCTGATACGTAGAAATGTCTCGCAACCTAAAATGTTTACTAAATATACCACATAATACGTGCTATTGATGGAAATCACTATTAAATGTTACACAGATAATTTTAATATCTTTTTCTGTCTATGACATTTTGATTCACTGTGTGTTCGATTTACAGGCCACAGTTTCATATTTATATTTATTCCCATTTGTATCGATCTATTTTACTGTTTTATTACGTGTCGTCTTTAGTCCAACTGTGTTATCACTTAATTGATGTTTATGTTTGCATAAAAGTAATCAGTACGATTTTTTTCATTTTTTGTATTAGCTTTACCTGGGTAATACAAAATTATCGTTGTTTCCTTTACCAACTCCTCCTTTGCCACAAGCGATTGAAGCAGCTGAAAGACGACTAATCGCTCTCGGTGCCTTAAAAGAGATTATCAATGCTTCTGGAGGTAATTTCGATGGAAAAATTAATGAATTAAAACTCTGACCTTTAACCTAATCTGTCGCGCCGCATATTTGTCACAATATACTTTTGTTTTTTAGGCGTATCTCGTACAATTACGGACGCTGGTAAATGGATGACACGTGTCCCGGTTCCTGCACGCTTTGCACGAATGTTATTATTTGCAAATCAATGTCAATTAATGCCGTATGCTGTGATACTAGTTGCTGCCTTATCTGTACCAAATCTCTTCCTCTCTCAAGTTGCAGATACACCTGTCTCGGAACAAGAGAAAACTTTTCAGTCAAATTTTGTCCAACAGTTTGTCAGAAAAGCAAGCATCATTGCAAATGAATTTATTATTTTAGTTTTTGCCATATGGATTTCCATTTATCAGCTATTTCGCTTCATTATGATACTAATACGTTTTAATGTAAATTCCTGCAGAAAACCCTGACTCTTAATCGTCTACATTCCTATTGGAAGTTCTGTTTAACCATTGGATAATAGTCATTAGTAAAAATGTTGATATCAAAGTAATCCCAAACACCTCAAATGTGTGAAAATATACATACTTCCAATACGTCTATTCACATTTAAGATACGCCGTAAATAATTAAAAAGTGTCGATAAAAATCTACACTATGATGTTGTAGTTTGGGCAGTCGACCTCCAACTAGCCTGTTTTTGGTCCATAGACTGTAGTCTCATTCCATGTCTCGATTTATCTATCCCTGACTTGTTCTATCTATTCCTATGCCAGCCAACATCGCACACCTGGATTAGTGGTGTTTAGATATAAGTAGCACATGTCCTAACAACGTCGGTCAATAAAGTGCTATGGTCACATCTGTGGACTTATCCTTTTCAACTAGTACTATAACTCTAACCTTATCAAGACTCATTCCATAGTCCCATCGAATTCGAACAGTGCTTTAAAAACACCTATGATAAAATACTTTTACCTTGTCTACATTTTCTAATTTTATGGAACACATCACGTAACTGTACGGTAATACAGCCCTGACGGCTGCTTGCGGCTTGTCATGAAGTGATATCTTAGCATATATATTTTTCCATAAGCCGACATCTTTAAGGTCTGAAGCAGTATGCAACTCAAAACTCATCGTAAATTGACAATGCATTTTAACAACTAAGTACAGATTAGTGTACTGCGTGTCCACGAAGATTCATTTTTACTGTAAGGGCTAGGTACATCACCTGACCAAAAGTAACAGAGTTGTTTCTGAACTCAGAAACATTGATTTGAAATTGAGTGTGTTTTATCGAACGAACCTCATTTGTTCATAATTTTAACAACCTTTGACAAACTTCTGAGAAATATTTGTAGTGGCATTCGTTTTACTAGTTCCAAAGTTTCATTTGATCATATCAGTTTGTTGAAGCTCTGAATATATATAGGGTTGTTTTTCTTGTAGAAAGAGGATTTATATCTGGGAGACCTTGCAGTACTACTGGGGACAATATGTTGTTTAGAGCGCTACTCAGCTCAGCTCAGTGGACTGACTCCTGCAGAACCTGGTATAATTGAGTCTGTTGGTGGGAAGACCTATGTATCACGTGATCCTGAAGGTGCATTGAGACAGCTCGTTCATCGATGTGGTGTCCGGTGGAATGCATATAAAGAAGTTAAGCAACTTCGTAAACAACTAACCGATATTTGTAGGTTTCAAATTGTGTATCTGTTTATTTATTTGTTTTGAGCTGAAGGAACTTTTTAATTGTGTCCAGATTTATACATCTGGTTGTGAGAATTAAACAATTTTGCCAAAGTCTAAATACTCTACTTAACCCTGTAAATCGCAATAGGTCAAAAAAAATTGTGAACTTGTAATTTTATAGTCATTACTCAGTTTTTTTTACATATTCTGATCCTGCTTTCCAACGGCAATAATAATGGGATTTTCGGATTTCGTAAAATAGATAAGAAGGTTCTATTTTTACCAAATACCTATTCAATTTTTTATAATTATGACTGCTCAAGTTTTCTTTCACGGGTTCAATGACGAGTAACGTCATTGCACTATTTTTATGCTTTTATACTGTTACTTTAGTGAATGTGATTATTCCGGATCTTGGTCTTTCGATTGATCTGTGCTTACCTAAACCCAGTGATTTTCAAATGATCCAGTTGAGACAATTGTTTCTAGTTGGTTCACCTTGTCAAATTGCTAAAAAACTTAATGTCTCGGTCACTGGTTTACCGGGTAATGAGCGTCGTAGACTACGTTATGCCTATGAAGTAAGTGAAGTCCAATACATCTCATTGTATATTTTACAGTCGAATTCAGTATCGTACACTTATTTTCTGTAATATTTCAAATACGATCTATTCGGATTACGTAGCAAAGTTACAATGCATTCATCAACTTATACATAAAATTACTGCTCTCTGTATACATCGCGATATTTATTATAACTAAAATAGTAATAATGAGCTGTGTTGCTTTTTGTATATGAATTGACCTCTTCAACTGTCCCTGTCTTTTAGTGGTTTGTTTTTGTCTCAGTTTGTTTCGTATTTAGACCAATTGTGTTATACCTTTCAATTAGCTTACCATGACTTTATTTGTACGATAATTTGTAGATTCCTGGCAAACAAGGACCCGTATTTATTGATTCAAATTCCACTTTGGCACGTGAAAATTTCCCTTTCGTAGCTTATTTGGAGCTACATACCACTTCAAAACCATTCTTACGTTGTAAGAAGAATGTTTTTTATTGAGTTGCTATGTCTTCCGTGTGTGTTGGACAAGTTTCATTGGGTTTCAACATGTCCTGTTTGTAAACTTTTTTAGAGTTTCATACACCCTAATCCCTTGACAAACGTAAAGATAAAGACTTGCAAAGCAACATGAATTCACTACATTTCAAGGCTTCTCATCAGCGACGAACGGCTTAAATTTACAGCTGATGGGAAGCCTTGAAATACAGAAAATCTGCGTTATTCTGTAAATCCTGTGGTCGTCTTTTGATTAAGAGATTTTTATGATTGGTTTGAATTCGCATGGAACAAATGTTAGTGTTACGAGTATTTTTGCGAGAGTACCTGTACTAACTTTTTGTCTTGGTGTATTATACAAAATACGAGTATATTTGTAATGCTTTACAGACTACGTGAAATTCTACTACTTCCAATAGCTTTCTAAACAATACTATTCTTCACTTTATAGTGGATATGAATAGCTCCTCATCCCAAGCAATTATTGAATGACTAGTGGAAATTAGTTGACTGGTCAGAAATATGATTAGTAGACATATCACTCGATTCATTTCTTTTATCGAATAAATTGCTGACGTCAATTCTTCTGAAAGAAAAATGGTGTTACTAGATTCTGTTTTTGTCTTCACAAATGTTCCCCAAACGTAGACAATTTACTATTTGCGCAACCATATTAAAATAACCTAGACGTATGTTTTTAAAAACGTTTTCAAAGGGAACTAACCCGACGTCACACTCTCAAGGTATAATTGATATTCTGTGGGCAGATAGATGATGTTGCAAGGGACTCGTCAATTAGGGCCTGTTTCAGCAAACTGTGTCATGGTTAACCTAATGAATATTGTTCTCTGAACAATAGTTTGTGATTGTAATTTCTATGTGGTTTATACCTTCATCATTCGGGAAAATAGCTATCTAAATAAAATTAGTATATAACGGTGAATTTTCTTACAAATAGAGTTCTGTCTCTAAAATTTTAGTTTCACCATCTAAACCTTAATTAAACATAGTATCTACGTATATGTATAGTAAATTTTAGCTTGTGACACTAAGCCAAATGATGACTATGAAATAAATACTTGGAGATCTACTGTCCAAGTTGACAGGTTCAAATTTTTAATTGCTACAATTGATCCCAGTGATGTTTTATGTAATTTGTGTATAATGTACGAAAACGCTTAGTATTTAATGATACTTTTTTATTCCGAATATCATTATATTTTTAGTTCGCTATTTTTTCTTGACATACTTTTCAATCCAGTTATTAACGCATTTAAAAATATTGAAAGTGTAGGAAACAATGAATTGACTAAACTCTTGCAATCTTCGTAGTTTTCGGAAGATTTAATTCCACAATTGTTTGTCTTTTCCTAATTGAGTTACGTCTTACTTGTAATTAATATTAAGAGTATTTTTGCCAAATACTTGTGGAGTTCACTGTTAAATTTATGATTAACGTCTTATTACAAAACTAGATATTTGAAAGTTTATTTTAAACGTATTAATTAGAGGCTTTGTATGTATTTGTCGATTTATATAACATTTTAGCTGTTTGTGCAATTGATCCTGGATGGATCCCATTCTTGGCACCTCATAGTTATGCTGTCAGTGACCTTGTATTGACAGATAATGTCGACACCAGTGAAAATAAATCTGGAAATCAAAGCACAGTTAACGAATCAAATAATAGCGGAAGTGGTGATGATGAGGGCACTAAATCTGCTGCCGTTACATCAAACTCTGTTTTATCCCTTCCCACTCCGCGTTATGATTCTGAACGCGATACTATTGTTACAGGTGCGAAATCTATTATATATATTGGGTTGGGTGTTGTTCCTGAGTCTAGTGCACCACTTTTTGATAATCAGTTTTTGGATCTACCAAGCACGGTTCTTGTTCCTATAAATAGCATTGCTGCGGCTCAATCACTAGGTTTCAAAGAATCACTAACATGGAGTGTCCGGTGGTTTACTCGTTATCTTTTGGAAGGTGTAATATTCTCTGAATTTAAAAAATGGTTCCCTTCAAAAATAAAAAAGAGTATTTCACCACAAATTGTAACTGTTTCATGGGGGATGTAAGTTTTGGGTGCTTTTTTCGTTGATCTCATATAAATTAACATTAATTGAAATTTAGAGAGGTTGTACGACTTATTCTGTTGTTGTATGGATATATTTTTTTCTCCCAACTGAAGTGATATTCTCATATTGGTATAAACAGTTTGATAATATAGTTTAAATATTGTTTTTATCTACACTACTGTATTAACCAGAAATTAATATTTTCTCCAAGTTTAGCTTTCTTTCTGAAACTACGATGAATCATGAACCCTTTTTAAAATAATAATTTAGTACTACTTATTGAAGTCTGACCCTTGTTTTTGTAGCAAAAAAGTGTCTAGCTTTTGTTTATAACCATGAATTATATATATGAACACCAAGATTATTTTGGTCACTTGTTCTAACGTCTGGGCAATAAAGACAATTTGATCTTCGTTCTAATGCTTGATTAACTAGATGCTACATGATGACTTGTTGTTAAACAGGTTTTATTTTAAAATGTTTAGTGACAATTGATAAGTTGTGATGGTGATAATTGTTTTTCAGTGTATTATGAAGCAATATAACTTCAGTATTTTCGTTCATTTCATTTCACAGCATTCGCCCTGAGGTACGTTCTATAGTATCTCTTCTTGTCACTGACAAGATCGATTCAAAGAGGAAACTATTACAACAATGGGAGTCTGACGTCCAATGTAAGTGATGCATCATTCTTAATGTTGAGTTTTGTAGATCTTTCGAAAGAGCTGGCATCATGGATACGTCCGGAATGTGTCAATGACTTCCATGCATCGTGGCCGCTGATACAAAGTCGTCCCATATCCTAATTCTGCGATAAGGTTTACAACATGTAAATTATTTTTATCTTTGTTATCAACTTTAAAAATACATATGTACAGTAGTGTTTATTTCCTTCACCTTCCAGTATCATTAATCAATATTGATAGTCGGGATTCAAGACAAACCAGTGTCTTTTATACTGAAAATGTCTTACTTTCTATTACATTGTTTGTATTAGTCGGTGAATAGATTGATTCTCAATATCTTATATTTCAAGAAGTTAGTATAATAATTTGCCCTAGAACATCACTGATTTTCTCTTTTAGTGTTGAATAATTCCTTCAAAAATTATCAAAACCTAGATCCATTGTACACCTAGGTTAAGTCGGTTTAACCGATAAGTCTCTGCGCTCAAACTTCTAAATAGTATTAATGTCCTTTCAAAGTGCTTATTAAAGCATTAGGGGTGTTTTAGTATGTTCGTTTTCATACTATTTTCGTTTCATCCATGACGATACATCTTGGGTTGTGTCAGCTTTATTGGCTATCCTCATGTGAATATCAATATTAAAATCTCTGTTAAGTGGCTATTCGCATTCTACTTTGGCCTCTGGGTCAGTAAATCGGTAGAGGTGCGTTATCCCTGTTAGAATCTTTGTAACAGTCGAGAATAACGTGTTTTGGAGATTCATTGCACTAAAGATGTACGGTAAGGTCGGATGCAGTTTGTAGCTAGATGAAGTTCCGTGCAACTGTCAAGGGCAAGTATGAAAGAAATGATGTTTCAATCACGAAAGTCTTGTTATTTAGTCGATATATGATAGTGTGGAGTATATGAACAACTATCAAGTTTCGAATTTAAAGATCCAAGTGCTGGATTTTATAGGTGATACTCATCAGTGATAGCTTTTCGATTGCACCTACATAAACCTAGGCCGCATTGCTTTGTGTTATGGTCATTCTTACTCCGAGTGAATCGCTGCCATTGGATAAGTGATAGATGCGGTTTAAAAAGTAGCCCCAAACGTGTTGCTTTGAGGAAAAGTAATATTATGCTAGTCGTGTTATCGTTCTCTCGGCTGTCGTGTCTCATTATGGATGCAATAAGTGTTAAGTTTAGCCTGGTGTACAGAGTCTTAGCAAAGTTGTATGAAATAACATTTGTACATTTAAAAAGGCAAATACTCAAGTGTCCAGTTAGGTGATGATGTTTGGTATGGATAGATTGGTGTGATGAGCTTGTAAAAGATAGGTATCATATTAGGATTATCACTTCAAATCCCGGATTTTGTCACGTTCATTGGCATTTAAGTCCAAGCTCGTAGTTTTTGAGACCGAACACATTATACAGAGCACATACTCCTGAAAGTATAAACTCGAAATTTAAGCTTCATAAGTGTAATGCGCTAATAGTATAGGAGGAGAAAAGAAATTCGTAAAATATTTTCGAAGACTGGAATGGTGTCACTTAAAGCTAAAGAAGTTCGAAAGTTACAAGTGGCATTGGTCGAATGGACGGGAATACTTCACGTTTGTTACCTCGATTTCGTACTTCCTTTGACATCTGTGACGAAACTCCGTAAGCCATAGAATACCCCCGGAACCGTTGGACCGCCCGCATTATTTTAAGTGCATATACTTGATAAACCAAATGGTGTTGAAAAAACTTTGTCAATCATTGGAAGAAAACAAATTCATGTGATGATTTGAAGGACTATTGCGTATATGACTGACGAATTGGCTATATACTATAGGCTGAGTTACGCGCGTTTTAAGCACAGATAGGTGGTAGTTAGCAAGAAATTCAGAATATCTGGTTCTTCCTATTTGGGACTTTTGTAGGTGTACCTCTATCATGATGTTGATGCTCACTCAACGACATTAGCCAACTACTTTCTTTTTAAATGCTAGTGGGTTATTGACCTGGCTAGTGAGTCCAGATTAACACTGGTCTATGCAACGGGATGCAGTATTAAGACAATCCACACAGGATCAGGTGGAAATTGGTCTGTTTCCGCCCATAATATCAAATTTCAATATTTCCCATCATGAATCAACTGCGAATATAGTTTTGTTAAGCGTAAAGCTACTCGTTATTCACAAAAAAATGCAGCATGAAAGAATTATAGAAAAGGTATTTTCTATAATGTCAATCTAGTATATGTGATGTATCGAGCTAACTGAGAATGAGTGTGAATAATTGTCAGCTACTTGAAATTGTAGAGGTAAACAAATCCCCCAAAATTAATAGCTCTGTAGGTCTTGGACATTTGATGCTGGCCATATTAGTTTCAATGGACTCACCTAGCTGAAGGGGCTTGGTCGCGCATTGGCACCAGATGATGACTGGGAACGTTGGGCTCAACTTGTCCTGCAACCGCTAGCCAGTCAGTTCTCGATATTTTGATAACCTGTCAAATATATCTTCGAACCTTCTCGGTTCTGACTTGATTTCGCTGGGTGCGCACGATTAAATTATACAATACGCTACTGATTATTGTGTTGTCGCACTACGAATACTCGTGGCATCTTCAAAATACATAACTCCATCAGTGCAGATGTTTAACCTGTCTAACGAGACAAATAAATTATCATGGTAGTGAATTTTCAATATTTTTACTCCAAACTTCATTCACTAATGATACGTATGACTTTTTTGTCTGAAAATGATGTGTTGAATTGGCCAAAACTGTCCAAAGATTAAATATCAATCTTCGAGGCACAATTTGAAACGATTGTTTGAAGTGATTGTATTTATGTAATCGAAAGAGAAATATACTGTCACAGTTGAATCATATTTACATACACGAAATTATATTGTGTATATATAATTCAGTGAATTCAATGTACGTTCAAATACTACAGGTTGTTTAATTACATGATAATAAAATATTATAGGTGCAAACCAACTTTTTAAAGATAGGATAATTCCGTTCATAATGTAAGTAAGATGTCAATGACAATAGGATGTATGATATCAGCTCCACCTGAACATGATCAGAGAGGAACTTTTACATAGCTTGTCCTCTTAAGAATAAATATTGATGATGTAATGGTTGAATCCATGAGTCAATTAAAGCTAGAATACATTGAAAAACCCGGAAGCACTGCATGATCGTTTCGTCCTAGTATAGGTTTCCTCAGTAGTGCGCGTCCACTACCCAAAATCTTTCGGCTTAGCGCGCGAACACTTAACTCCTGGACCAATGAACCGGCATCCAACAGTGTTAATTCAAAAAATCCATGAATATTAAAAATACCAATGAATGAAGTGACTGCGAAGTGATGAATAAAAAGAGCTCACAGAAAAATTAGAAACTTGAGATATAGATTTTGCATCCTTCTGAAAAGACCACCAGATGGTTTTTAAAATGAATCATAAATTTTATGTACTTTATACAATAATTTAAATGACAATAAGCTCTTGAGATGGTGGGGAATATTTGTAGCTCAGATGGACTACAAGCTCTAAATCAAACGTCCACTACGTTTAGCAGTCTGTCAGATGCTAGCAGTTCCAGATTTAACACTCCATAATAAAATTTAAAAAAAGTCACAAAACATGTTTTACTTTTTCTATTGGAATTGTAGAATCCAAACCATGGTTTGGACTGCTGACTAGCCTACCAGGTAGATTAGACACGCGCCCTTGCCCGTCAAAATTTTGACGGTACATTCACTTCCCCCGTTTCTTATATGTTACTGTTTTGTGCATTAACGGAATCGAGAAACATTTGGTACAGTTTTTGGTGGAAAGGTCATCAAAACGTTAAAAGACATTGAAAAATATATGAAGTTAGATTAAATATATATTTACTTAATACTTTATCAAACTCTAGCTGATAAAACCGCTCGTTCGTCTATGTATATCAGCTTATCGCTTAAAAATACTTGAATAAACGGTATTATGACTTCTTTCAAAAGTTCTACGTGCTGGGAGTTAGAATATTTGCATTTATTCAATTTGGTCAAAAACCTTGATCGAAGTACAATATATTCGGCGCCAAAAACAAATCATTAACCTTACCGAGCGTTTACTGTCGTTGTGGGATGGCTGATGTACTAGATTTACATGGCGAGAATGACTTCGAAGAAGACGCAGATGGTGATCGTAAGTGAACTTTTCTGATGTCTTTAAAAGTTCAATGGTCGTCATAAGTGGTTGATTTGAAGGATTATAGTAACGTCAACCCGCATGTACATGTAGCCTTTACAGTTCATATAAAGATATATATATATACCTTTCAGAAAGTGCTTTTCTAGTGTATTACATAGTATCTTAAAATTCTTAATTAGCCTCCTAATTTTTTTTCTGGCAAATGTATTGTATTGAAATTATTCAGTTGACGCAACAATCTTAAAATAATTTCATGTTATTGAAGAGTGGTTTCAGGTATCCAATCGGATAGAGTTCAGTTATTGTATCAAATTCTTGCTGATCTGGTTAGTTTAGCATAGATAGACTTCGTCGGAAAAACGTTAGGTACAGTTTTAGACTTGGAATTAATCTGTTAAACAATCGATTATTTAGTTAATTCTTGTTGGTCGATGTATGTTCCAGGTTATTATCGTAATATTGTTGGTTATAGGTCGATAACTAAAAATCAATACCTTTAGATGGGGTCAACATTTTCCTACGACTTTAATAAACCTGAAATATTGGGTTTTCACTTCAGCGATATGTGTAATTGTGAAAACCTTATTTGAACTTAGTCTAGGTACTCAGTGTATGAGAATTAAGAATGGAGTGCGTTATGGTCCTACTTATTTTCGTCTGTCACATCTTAGGATATTATTTATCAAGTTTAGTTGTGTAAACCTTATGTATAGGTTTGTGTGCTGTCTTCTTGTTGCATCCTCGCCGATACACTTCACGTTTCGTTTAAATATGTTATTTTTCGGATCAAGGTTTTACTGATGATATTAAGAGAGAATCATAAGTAAATTAAAGGAAATTTCATAAAAAAAATCGAAATATTTTTATTGAACCTCAAATCTACTGTGAACAAGAATACGTTTGAGGTTCAATAATTCGACTACACCTTCCATGTTTTAAATTTGAAATATCGTTGTTTAATATTAGGCGTTTATTGAGTATTTTTTTGACTGAACGAACTAATGCACTGAAAAGCACGTACAAGTTTATTTTGTTGCTGACTTCTTCACAAAGCGTCAACTTTTATTATTATCCTCCGCTAATAAAATTTTTATGTAGTAATTTAACTAAGTACAGTTTGTTTGAATGACACTCATGATTTATATTCTTTACAAGTTATTGTACAATGGTTAGTGTTAAACTGTATCCAATTAATCAACGCATTCTGGTAAAGGTTTATTTATGTGAATGGTCATTGAAAGCACCACCGTACATAAAAATAACCTCAACAAACGAATTATCGTTAATGTAAAACGCAAGTGGACGGTGGGAGCGGTTTTAAAAATCCGTGTGTCAGTTATTCAACTGCAAAGTAGAACCTGATACCCTTATACATCGGTTAAAGTTGCCGTACTTCATTAGGACGACAAGATGAAACTAAGGGGGAGCTTCAGAGTAGTAACGGCAGTGATATTGTAAATGGTATTAACAAAAAAAATAGGCATCGATGATGCTATCCAAGATAATATAAATCAATTAGACGAAAAAAGTGAGAAATTTAGAGGCTTGGGATCTGTATGAAGACAAATACTGGGTGCATCTGAATCAATATCAAAGATTCTAAGCCATGTCATTCAAAATATCTAACCACTGGTTGCAATCACACGAACCCCGACTAAATAGTGTAAACCTGCTAAAGTGATTTATTTCAATTTTCACTAACTTCATAAACTGATTCTATGTATTGCTCAGCCGCCTGTAACTTCCTGTCAGCCTACTTTCACACCAGGCATCGTCGCTCATGAAGGTGGTTGGGCATAAGTAACACATGTCTCAACCACCCCAGTTGATAAAGATTAACTACCTCATCAACTACCTCCTCATCTTTACCTAATACGCTATTCCTAACGCAGGCTTTGCTTACTCGGTAGTCACAAAATGCACAAGTAATGCTTCGAAAACATCTACGATCGAATACTCGTAACCTCCAAATATACTCTTCTTAAAGACCATGTTTCAAGTCGATAAGGTAAAACTAAGCTTACTACTGCACAGTAAACTCGTTCGCTGACGTAAATCTTGTCTACGCGACAAGTAAACTGAAGACGAAATAAAGCTACACGAAAACACTAAATTACCAGGTCTAATCCCGACCGTAGCTGCTACCTTGGCGTGGTGTCATGCTTGTCTATCGTGATGAACCAATTGAGCTATACTGGCTGGAACAATCGTTCCTCAAGTTACTACCATGCCAAAGCGAGCGGCAAGACAAAGCCGTAAACCTAAGGTCTGGGGGCGAAGTCGTACTGCTGAATGTACAGAGGTGTGACGGCAGTAAGGTGTTTTCTTCAGAAAACCAGCATGACAGCGATGCTACCTTCTCACGAGAAGTGAGGTGAGAAAAGTTTGACCCTAAAAATGCGCACCTCGCCTCAACCCTCGAATTTTTGTCTCCGGCGGTAAGGTCCCAACAAGTAAGGAGCTAACACGAGAATTACCCACAAAAAGGTCGTGTGTGACCGCCATTAGGCACTGCAATCTCACTCTCAGGTCAATAGGATCACCTCTGACCCAATTCCCTTTTCAGGTACCTCTAGAAGAACCCTTTGGCGTGGACAATCGGGAAGTTATAACTGCCCTCACACCTCTAACAACACTCAAGATCACTCTATTCATAATCATTCTCCCTCTTCAATTCCTATTATTCCTCCTACCCCAACTCTAAACTTCCTCGTTTAACTTCCTCATCAAGAGTCACTATGGCTAAGGATTCTAGCTTTTCAGATTGACAAAAAAAGCGAATTACGAAGTCAAGTATGAGACGATCTTGGAAGAAGACAACACTCTAATCTGCTTTCAACCCAGACATTAAAAATAATGGGCTGAACACTTTAGGGAGCAATTCAGCCGGCCTTCAGCTACTCTAAAACTACCCTCCATTCCCAAACAGTGTGAATGGGACATTGAAGTAGGCCCCCCGACTCTAATTAAAGTTCAGAAAGCTATAGCTAATCTGAAACAACGGAGAGCAGCTGGTCCAGATGGATTGGCTTCAGAAGTTTTTAAGCATTGTGGTCCGGTTTTAGCAACTAGGTTTACCAGTATTCTAGCTAAATTCTGAGAGTTGGACGTAATTCAATCTGACTGGTCGCAACCACTAATTGTCCCAATATATATTAGAATAGGTCAAAGTCATCTCTTTCCAAATTTATTTCACTGGATTATACTCCTTGAATAACGTCTTCAAACCCTAATTTTTCTGATAACAGCTCATAATTTTACTACATCTAGCACTACGGGATTTGAATAGACCACTACATCTCTGTGCTAATGTGGTGTGGCAACTCAAACTGATGTACGTACGTACGTACGAAGTTCTACATTGTTACTGACTGACTGACATCCTATGATAACTATAGAGCGATTAGTTTAACTAATATAGCATCTAAAATACTAGCCTCAATAACTATCGGATGATTAACAAAGACACGTAAACTGCAAACACGAGAAAACCAGACTGGTTTATACCCGGTCGTGACTGTGTCGACCACATTTTCGCCATTCGTCAGATTTTAGAACACAGGCATGCCTATAGGCGTCCGACAATGATGGCTTTGTTTGACTTAAAAACAATTAAGGGACGGGTATACTGCGCAGCAGTCCATTCTGTTCTAATTTACGGCTGCGAATCGTGGCCATTAAGAGTAGAAGATACCCGCAAGTTACTAGTATTTGATCACAGATGCCTTAGGAATATTGCTTTCATCTGCTGGGATAGTCGAGTAAGTAATCATGAGGTTAGACGCAAGGTATTAGGGAGTGATGGTAAATCAGCTGGTTAGGTTGTAAATCTTCATCGACTGAGATGGTTGGGCCACGTGTTGCGTATTACTAAACACCTATTACCACGACGCGCAATGCTGACTAGTGTTGAGGATGGTTGAAAGAAAGTTAGGGGCGGCCAAACCAAAACGTGGCATTATTCATCTTTCTATCAACTAATTCTTTCTTCCTTTACTATATCCTTATACACAATCTTTCTTTTATATATAGCTTCTATTAAACATCTTCATAAATATTAAACCGCATTTATGTATCTATTGTGACAGTTCTTTAATCTCAGTCGCAACAGGTTTGTTGAGACTTTCAAGATAACATTCATGTCCGAGTCTTTAGCTTTCATATAACCTTAAATTATAGTTTCCAAGGCCCATAATATCAGAAAAATACCGTCTCGTGGCATTGAAAAACTAGTGTTCACTTTGAAACAATACCAGATAAACAATTTTTTATTTCTAGTTAAGATATTCTTGTTGCATATGTAACATTATTATTTGCAATCAACCAGTTTTAAGTGCCTAGATTTATCAAACTCAATGTGTTTATTTCAGATGGTTTAATGAAATTGAAGGAAAGTGCCAAAAAAAGAAAAGGCAGAGGATTCGGAGCTGGTATGAATTTTAACGCTTCTAAGCCCTGTAGACTCAGTCGGAACGACAAAAGAAGGGTATGAATCTCTAGTAGTGGATGACGGATCATCAAAATCAGGCCCTCAAAGATGTAAGTTGTTACGATAAATATATATGTATATTGTTTACCAGCCGTAGAAGGTTGGATATTGTTTGTAAGGAATGTACAGGAAGAAGCTACGGAAGAAGATATTCGAGATAAATTCTGTGAATATGGCGATATAAAAAATATACACCTTAACCTTGACCGGCGAACTGGTTATTTAAAAGTACGTTCAGCCATCTTATTTACTAATAAATTGCAGGGATATGCATTAGTAGAATATGAAAATTTCAAGGAAGCGTTTACTGCTATGGAACATCTAAATGGTTCTGAGCTAAATGGTCAAAGAATTCACGTGGATTGGGCGTTTACGAAAGGTCCGAATCCAGTCAAAATGTCAACCAAACACAGAACACGTGAACGTAGTCGAAGTCGATCAGTTGACCGTGCTCGGCGATAATTGTACATTCATGCTCTAGATAAAATGTTTTTTACATATCTTAAACACCTTTTTATCAAACAAGAAATCAGCGTCGGCTTGATCTCTTTCGTTGCATTATTAGTTGTTTTAAGCTACACCTATTCAAGTAAAAAACGTTTGTATTCCTTAACTGCTTTACCATTTATATCATTTATTATCATTAACCGGCTGATCGTACAGTGTGTTTCGTTTTAAGGTTAGTGTATGTAGTAAGCAATATATTTTGTTGGAAAGCATCAGGTACTTAGGTAAGATAATCTAAGTGTAAAAGCTAGTGATACTACTAGGCTGCCGAAACTGTAGATGGAGCGGGGTTTGAACCTAGGATACATTAGTAACAGGTACACAAATCGTCATTTAGAATCGGTTTAAATGAGGAAAACTTGATATCTTCAAGGTTATGCGACTCTATAAAATTGCAGTCTCATGAAAGTTTTTGGAGTGGTTTCACCATAGGTAAATAGATTGATACATATATCTCTGACATCTACTGTGAATAAGTTCTCATCCCACAGACTATAACTGATGCATTAGTATCCGGCTGTCGGAATAAACTCGACGAAATATAACCTTCCAAAGTGTGACAATGACCCATTCATAAATTGGTGACTAGGTATTTAAATTGATACTGAGTTTAGGTTTATCTTATTTACATTAAAAAGCAATACCTATTTGTCCCATCGCCAGAAATCTGTCGCAAATAGGAAATATGCAAGATAAAATAAAAGATACATAGTCCTGTGCTATGTATCTCATCTTGTTATTCGAAAAAACTCAGTACAAGCATTCCTTCAGATGCTTTGGTTCATCAACCTTAACATCCATTTTTAATTCGTTTAGTATTGTTGTGGACTGCGATACACAAAACATGATTTACCCTTGAAATCAAATAAATATTACTTAAACATTCCAACTGGTGCTTCTGCAACACCTTTTATCGACGAACTCATTGACTTCAAAGAACTTCGTGTCACTCAGTATTGTAATTCAGTTTTAGACCGTCTTACATTCAACGTTCCTTGTTGATCTTCTGTGATTTATATAAGTATGGGAGCGAATTTGTCATATCAAGGATGGGTAGACTTCATGTGGACTTATTGTTGTAACGTGTGACTGCAGATTAGATGCGCAGCGAATCATCGATCGGATCAATGGCACGTAAAACACGTACGAACGGCCTAGAGCCCCGATTGGCCCTGCTTCGCTGTCTAGCCCAGCCAGTTGAGTCCAGAACGCAAGTTTCAGCCTCTGAGATATGAATCATTATATTTCAGAAATTGTTTATATACCAACCAAACAAACCACATCGTACCATAAAATAGAAAACAACATTTGTACAATATTTAACAAGTGAAATAAATATTGACCAATAAGGAATGTCCATTTAAAGTCCACGGACACCATTAGACTTAACATGATAATTATTGGTATATTTTTCCGAATATCCTAACACTTATCTCAACTTGCAATTCACTAACTTCCAGGAATTCGTTACAATAAACAGATAAGAATAAACATTTTGTTTAACAAAGGCACTTATGATGTTATTAAAAATTTTTTGATCGACTAGAGATATTGCATTATTACTGCCATTTTGATTAAAGACCAAGGTGGGCAGCCGGGAAGTGATATCAGCCCTCATACCCGTAACAGCACGCGAGACCAAGTTGGTCACATTCAAGTCCTTCCTACACCTCCTAATAAATCTCTTATTTCTATGACTAACCCTCCTCACGTCTCTTTATCACCTCGCACCGCTAGGGCAAACGATTCGAATACGAGGAACGCTATTCCTGGTCTCCTGAAACTACGCTCTAAACTACACGTAGGAACTTTTAACGTACGAACACTGCCAAATAGGACAACAGGCCTCCTTAGCTAGGACTTTAGAATCTCACGCCATCGATGTGTGCTGCGTCTCCGAAACGCGCATACAAGATCCGAGTAGCGTCATTCATCTGACCTCACCATGCCAAAATAAAGAACCGACTTGATTCACACTTCGTGTATCTGGAAGCCCTGGTTCTGCTTCCCGTGGCCTTACCGGCGTAGGTATAGCATTGAGTCCTAGGGCAGAACTAGCTCTCTTAGAGTGGATCCCAGTAGACAGTTGTTTGTGCGCTGTCCGACTAAACGGAACAGTAAGGATCCGAAAAGATAGGGAAACTCATCGTTGCCTTTACGTTGTCTATGCCTATTCTCCCGCTGACTGCAGCTCAGATGATGTAAAAGATGAGTTTTACAGAAAGCTCTCCGATCCCCTCCTAAAGGTAGGCGCTATGATGTAGTAATAGTGGCCGGTGACTTTAATGCTCAAATAGGTAAACTAGGCGAAAGGGAAAGACTCCTGGGTGGATCTTATAGCATCGTGGCTCAAAGATCAGATAATGGCGACCGTCTGTTGCAGCTATGCTCGGATAACCGCCTCTTTCTTGCAAATACTAACTTTAAGCATAAGGAAAAACATCTTTTAACATGGAGACCTCCTAATTCGACCCAAATAGATCACATCGCTATCAGCCACCGATGGAGGGGCTCGATAGAACACTGACGCTCATTCTGGAGCACATGCTCAGATTCAGATCATGCTCTAGTACGAGCGCGTATCTGTCTGCGTCTTACTGGACGTAGGAAAGACGCTGCAAGTAAACCTCTTAAGGCCCTACTTAATGATAGTCAAGCTAAGAGTATATTTCAGGAACAACTAGGAAAACATTTAGGCAGCCATGTAGGTGATGCCCACCCCGAGGCTGCATGGAATGATATCCGTAAAGCTGTGGAAACGGCAGTGATATCTGCCAGTACGGTAAACCATATTGCTAGGGAGAAACATTGGATCTCAGCAGCATCTATCGCACTGATAGATGCTCGGAAACTCATTCCACCTGGCTCTGAACATAATGAAGAGCGGAGTCAGCTTAAGCGCAAGCTGACGAGAAGTCTACGCAATGATCGTGAACAGTGGTGGGTAGCGAAAACAAGAGAGATGGGAAAGGCAGCGGCAATAGTAGAGAATTGTTCAGACTTGTTAAGGAAACCGGAATTAAGAACCCGACCGTTAGCGAAACAATCTCAGAGAAAGATGGACATATTATACACTCTCAATCCAGAAGATTAGATCGATAGGCAGAATATTTCAGGGATCAGTTCAACTGTCCTTCAGCCACACTTCGATTTCCCACGATCCCCAGTCAACCTGAGTGGCTAGTTAATGTAGGTCCTCCGTCTCTTTATGAAGTTAAAAGACCTATAGGAAATCTGAAGCGAGGGAGAGCAGCAGGCCCTGACAGGTTTACTCCTGAGATTTTTAAGGATGGTGGTCCAGTATTAGCAATGAGATTAACCGAGGTCTTAGGTAGAATTTGGGAACTGGACGTAATCCCATCTGACTGGTCTCAATCACTGATTGTGCCAGTTTATAAGAAAGGATAAAAGTCCTCTTGTGACAATCACAGAGGAATCAGTTTGACTAATATAGTGTCTAAAATATTAGCTTCAATAATACTTCGACGCCTAACCAAAGCTCGTGAAGAGCAGATTAGAGAAAATCAGGCCGGTTTTCGACCTGGACGTGGTTGCATAGATCAGATATTCACACTACGTCAGGTTCTAGAACACAGACACACGTTCAGACGCCCCTCAATGGTAGTATTTCTCGACCTTAAGGCGGAATTCGACTCTGTTGATCGTAAGGTTCTATGGCAGTGTTTGTCACTGAAAGGAGTACCAAGGAAGTACATTAACCTTATTCAGGCTCTCTACTCGAACACAACTGGTAGAGTGAGAGCTTATGGCGAACTGTCATCAGAATTGATTACCTCAAGTGGTGTTCGTCAGGGCTGTCCACTCTCCCCATTCTTGTTCAACTTTGTGGTCGACATACTTTTAGAGATAACACTCTCCTCATCTAAATTTCCAGGGGTTGAACTTCTACCGGGATGTTCACTTGTTGACTTAGAATATGCAGATGACATAGTTTTATTTGGTGAAGACGCTGACAAAATTCAGAGTCTTCTGACCACTCTAAGCAACAATGCAAGCATGTTCGGGATGCGATTATCTCCCTCGAAATGCAAAATGTTGCTTCAGGATTGGGTTACATCGACACCCGAACTAGTGATAGGGAGTGAAGTAGTTGAGTGTGTCGACCGCTTCACTTATCTTGGAAGTCTCATCAGCCCTTGTGGTTTGGTGTGTGACGAAATCTCAGCACGGATACAGAAGGCTCGACTAGCTTTTGCCAACTTGCGTCATTTATGGCGTAGGCGAAATATCCGTCTACCAACCAAAGGACGTGTTTACTGCGCAGCAGTTCGTTCCGTCCTACTTTATGGCAGTGAAACATGGCCGGTAAGAGTAGAGGATATTCGTAGGTTACTAGTATTTGATCATAGGTGTCTTCGAAGTATTGCTCGTATATCTTGGGACCACCGAGTAAGTAACGCAGCTGTTAGGAAACGGGTACTAGGTAAGGATGGCAAATCAATTGATGACGTGGTGAAAATTCATCAGTTGCGATGGCTGGGACACGTGTTACGTATGCCCAACCACCGACTACCTCGACGTGCTATATTCAGTGGTATAGGAGTAGGTTGGAAGAAAGCTAGGGGCGGCCAAACCAAAACATGGCACAAATCCATGAAGTCACTGACAAGTGGACTGAGTCATGTTGGTAGGTGTAAACTACCTGGTTGGGGACCGCGAGATGATAGCAACCGATGGTTAGAGACCCTGAATGATATGGCTCAAAATCGTTTGCAATGGCGCAGGTGCATCCACTCTCTATGTTCTCCCAAATTCTAATCTTCTGAATTCTTCATGTCCCTTTTTTCCTCTTTCCAAATTTATTTCACTGTATTACACTCATTGAATAACACCTTCAAGCCCTAATATTTCCGATTACTGATGTTAATGCAGTCATTTAAAATGCTGTACAGAACAGATATTACTGATATTATTTCATGCTCAGATCCCAACAAAAAGTCTGTTTGAATTCTAGTTTATTCCACTCACCATTTTAAGTAACGAAGAGAATTATGCAGATATTACATTAATAATGTTATCTTTTTCTGAATACATATTTTCTTTACTACTGTATAACTAAAAAAAGTGTAGCAACTTAGTCATATTTTACACATTGTTTCTATTGCGTAGATAATTTAATTGTTTTGTTGTTATATTTCACATAACACTTATTAAAATGATATTCTAAACTACGTTTCGCGAAATTAGCATGAAATACATTTACCACATATTTTGAACATTTATGACGACTGAAATGATAGGATTAGGCAGATGAGTGGCAAATTAATAGTATAAGTTCATTTCAAATGATAGCGTGATAAGTAAATTATTTTACAGGATAGAATCATAAAATGAAGTAATTGCACAATTTCAAGAAATTTAATCCAATCAACATGAGTAATATACATATATTAAGGTGTATTTACAATTTTATGTTATCAAGAATAATCAAATGATTCAACTGTTTGAAAAATGCACCATGAAATCTTTGGTAATTAGTGTTGTACTTCTGTTTTAGTCTTCGATTCAAGTAAATTAACACATCTTTTTTTGGCATCATATAATTTATGTGTATAAATATATTCCAAAGTACGATCTGGAACGAGGTAGCGTACACTTTTACCATTTGATAAAGCATGACGTACAAAAGTAGAGCTTAGTGAATTCTGACAATTGTCTATCACTAAACTTATATTATCCTAAGTGAAATATTAAAAAAAAATCAAATATATATTGGAAAATAACTAAATAAATATTGCATCTGTCAGTAATAATGATTTCTGTGCATGAGTAAACTACCTCAATAAATTTATGCTTGATTATGAACGTACTTATCAACATGAAGTCTTTCTAAACTCTCACTGTTTTACAGGTCTCTAAATGACTGGAAATCGTTTACGTTATGAAATATGCCTTGTGGGGTATCTGTGATTGATAGTTTTAAAACATTTTGTAAATTATATATTGGTACTTACTGTTAGTTCACTTACGCCGATAATCAGTGACTAGCTAGATGCATTACATTTTGCCTTTTCGTTAATACACATATATGACAATCTAAAGTTTAAAGATGAATATACTTACCTAATTACGCCTGTTACACCTCATGGCGGAGCATAGGCGGCTCACCAACATTCATCATCCAACTCTGTCTTGGGCAATTCTTTCCAGTTGCTATTCATTCTTTTCATGTCTGCTTCCAATTCCCGACGCAGTATATTGTTCGGCCTTCCATTTTTCGCTTCCCTTCAGGATTCCAAGTTAGCGTTGGCTTTGTGATGAAGTTTGATTATTTCCTCAACGTGTCCTATCTGCTGTTGCTCATGGTATCCGACCAACAAACATTAAGTGTATTATGTAGACAGCTGCGTATAAATACTTATACCTTTTCGATTATGGCTGTAGTGGTTCTCTTAGTTTCAGCTCCGTACAGTAGAACTGTATTGATGTTCGCAATGAGGATTCTCACTTTGATGTTGGTTGACAGTTGCGTTGAGTTTCATGTGCTCGTCAACTGTAGGAATACTGTTCTTGTGTTGCCAATCCTTGCCTTTACATCTGCATTGGATCGTCCTGGTTTACCAATGATGCTGACAACGTGCGTGAATGTTTCCAGAACTTCTCCATCAAGTGTGATTGAGTTGGTGTCCTCTGTGTTGAATTTGAGAATCTTCTCTTTACCCTGTGTATGTTGAAGCCTACTGATACAGAGATTGCTGCTACACTAATTGTCTTCACCTGCATTTGCTCGTGTGTACGGGATAGAAGTATCAGGTCATCTAAGAAGTCCAAATTGTCTACTTGCATCCAAGCTGTTCGTTGTATTCCATGCTTCCCTTCAGATATGGAGGCCTTCATAATCCAGGCAATCACCAGTAAAACGATGCTCAAATCACTTTGGGTGGTTTATTTATTTGAACACATGGATATTGGTACAAACGAGCACCAGATAAATATGCGCCACACAAATCTCATTTGATTTGTGTAAGGAATGTGATACTGCCCAGGTGACCAGACCGAAGCAGGTGGTTTTCTTAGAGGGCCACACCCGGAGCCTTTGACTTAATAGTCTGATCCACAAGGTAGCGGAGCACCGTAAGGAGATGCGGCCTCATGGTAGCCGGTGAACAATAACTAATTCATATGCCATTTGTTCCCTCAGGATACTGGAGCCCATGTGCACCACCGGTGTTGTCCATTTCGACTTTGGCGTTTAGGTCTCCCATCCGAATGGCGAGATCCTTTCTTGCGCACTTCACCGTGATTGATTACAGCATCTCGTAAAACTGGTCGTTATTGTCGTCATCGCTGTCATTAGTGGGTGCATAACATTGGATAGCATTCATTGTGATCCCCTCATTTGTTGTGAAGTATGTTTTACTGATCCTTGGTCCATGAGCTTCCCATGCTATAGGCGCATTACGTGCTTTTTTGGACAGCATCAGAGCAACTCCTTGAGTATGTAGAGCATTCTCCCTTCGCGGCTAACGTTTGCTATCCGGCTTGGGTTTCGCTGATTCTGAGAACCGCCAACTTGTATTCCCAAAACTATTTGATTGGTCATTCCGGTCTCCCACATTGTCCGGACGTTCGATGTACCTATATTAATTGTTGCTATGGTTATTAGAAGGGGTATCGACCTCGTGACTTCCGAAGAATCTCAGCTTCCATTATGAAGCGGCATAATTTTTCCTTCATCTGATTGGCGTTACCTTAGCAAGATTTTTTTTTCTACAGGATTGGGTTGCCGACCCTATGTCCAACCCTCCTCCTTTACCCGGGCTTGGGACCGGCAGTAGCCCACAAGAGCTACAGGCGGAGTTAAAGTTGAGTATACTAATCTCGAAATAATAGGACCTAATTTAAACGGACGATAAAGCATGACATATTTTATGTTTAACAAATGATTGCTATCGAGAAGCATGCATTTGGCATCGGCAATTATTTCGCACTGTAACTGTGACTGTTTTTTTATGAGTACATCACGTTAAAAAAGAAGTCTAATGTAGATCGACATAAGGTGTCTAACATATTTCAGACGATAAACTTTATCAGTTACTAAACATATCCAATTGACAAATGTAGTTATGTAGTAAACAAAGACTTGGTGGGGAAAACCAATTTGTTATTTTATCTAAAATTACAAAGTGCTTTCCTAAAATATGGAAACCATACATGCATGCACCACAGTTACAATAATTTTATAGTTCCACAATGTGATCAACAGTGAAATCCAAGATAAGGATTCCAACCTAATTAGGACTTGTCAGCTGGACATATATGTATCCCAGTTTTGATTTTCATATTGGACCTCGAACCCAGTATCAAACTCAAAAATACTAAATCCATATAGCTACTGATATGTTCAGCGGGTATGATATAATTTTTAAGGGTTCGTATTCTCTTGTTCATTGGTCACATACCCTAACAATAAAGGTTGGCCAAATACGATCCTGATTATCAATAAACAGAACGAAAACCTTCACAATTACTGCTTATTTGTACTCGTTTTACCCATAGCTTGACGGTATTACAGGTAGTAACCAATCAAATATCGATCTAACTTCTTTCTCTATTAATTTTAAATCTATATTAATAAGTCATCTGTATATTCTTACTATAACAACAGGGAAAAGCAATTCAAATACAAGCATTTACAGTAATTTCTCATCAGTGTTCCTAAATAATATTCTGTGTAACAAATCAAAACAAATTACCTTATATTTGCCCAAAATGTTTGATTCATTGATAATTTTTAAAGGCTCATATGAAGGTCGACTAATACAAATTATACCATAGTCACGAACAATCGTTTCAATCTGAAAAAAGAGAATAATCTAATAGGAACTTTATTGAGTTAAACTGATCAATAGATGTATGGTTATTCTATGAAATAAGACATACATTACGCATCAGGTAATGTATACTAATTATCATAGTGTTATATTGTACATTTTGATCGATGAATGCTGAATTTCCCCGTCTAGGGTATCTAGTTAATATAAGTCCATACGAGTAATTACAGTCCGTTCTTAGAATGGATGTATCCGATCATATATAAATAAATTGTAAAAACAACAATAAACTAAAAACAAATAAATATCGTGATTAGATTAGCAAACTGAGTAAAATTTTCAATTAACCGGTTATTACTTCCCAACAAGAATCAAAGTATAAAGTGGTTGACCGAAGAATGTACGATGGAACGTCCTTAGGAAAGTGTTATACTACTAGATTTAATGAGTAAACATGATACCGCAACTGGCAAACTGAAAAAGGGCTATAATACCAAATGTTGTAAATTATGAACATTGTATTTAAGGGTGATTCTACAGAGATCGCTAGTATATACAATAGACACAGGGTGGCTAATTGAATCAAACTAGCTTATTTTTAATAATCATAAACTTACATCTTCTTCTGACCACAAATTTGGAGTTTTGAATGATTCCAGAAGATCAGCACCACAAACTAATTTCACACAAGGCTTTGATAGCAAAACGTTTGCGGTATTGTTTTTGCGACAGTAATGTGATCTATCTACGGATGATGATGAAGTGAAGAGATTGCTGTTGAAATGATCATCATTAGCATTATGTACTTGGTGTTCACCACATTTTATGTTACTAACATTAATAAGAGAGTCAAGATGAAAGCAACTTTTAAGCCAGAGGTCAGTCGCCATGCCTTCTAGTGATGAAAGTTTCGTTTGTTCGTGGTCTTCGTTAATTAAACGATCAGTGGCTAGAAAGTAAGGAAATTAATAAGTAGATACAGCTAAAGGAATTTACTCCTGACAGATGAAGCTGTATATATAATTGAAAGTAAGGCATCTTGGAAGTTAGTGTACTACGGAAGAGATAAATAAAGCTTTATACACTAAAAAGTTGTTACAAAGATCAATTACGAAACTACGAAAGAGTACTAGGAAATCGATTTCGGTAGATGTTTTCTTCTTCTAAGAGGATATTTGTTAGGGGAGGAATATACAGAGATAACTCTAACGACAACTGTGATAGCGTATGCAACAGTTATGCTCGTTTCTAGCGCCTTTCAACTAGCTACTACAAGAGACGAATCTTATTAAGGTTTATTGGACGAAACCAAAGAAGATTGATTTTACATCCGAGTTAATTTAGTTCCATGATCATTAGTTACAGAGTGAACTGAAAAGTAAACGACAAAATACAATGAAATTTAGTGAATGGAATCCATGTAAATCCTTTAACTAAGCGAAAATCTCTCTAAGTCAAAATAAGAACTTATACCGAGTTTCTTCTACATACATATAGGGATACAGCATCCTCAGCAAACTTTTTTCACAGTAAAAAAAACGCCGTTAATATACAAAAAGAATTTGCAGTTTATGAAGAATTATAGAAAAGTGATGGATAGGCTATTATAAATTTGGAGATAATCAGTGGAAATCCCTGTACACATTTTCTGTTTGTACAAATTCATCAGAAAACTGTATCAGCAACAAAACAGTTTCTAACCTAACTCCATTTACCTTGGTTTGGGCGACTGAATATTGTCACCAGCAAAAATAATTAATGAACCTAAAAGCCAAGTAAGGAAATCTTAACTTGGTGAATAATTTACGTCTGTTCGAAAAACTATACTCTCTAGTGAAGTTGAACTTAAATTGTCTAGCAAAATAGTCCTAAATGTTGCTAGTGAGATTGTAATCAGCACCATATTAAATGATCCACACAAACTAGATGTAAGATGATAACGCACGATACTCATTTTAAGCATTAAGCATGTAAATGATAAGTAAACGTAGATTTGTAGATACAACTAGAAAATTATACTTGTAATAAAGTGTTACAGTTCAATATTTCAATTTATAACTATTAGTTGATGTAAAATCCAGGAGAAGACATCTGATAAAACCTATTTAACACTTCTTCGGTCACATAGACCAGCTGAATAACTAGTTTTATCAATACGCTGAATTACATATTTATTAAGTTTTGAAGACAATAATTATTAACTTAGAATATCCAATATGCATTGGGAGTTGAAGATAAATAGACATAGTTCTAGATCAATGACTCGGGAACTGTCAATTTAAGTTGTACAATTAAATGTTTATGAACTCTAGCAGTTTTTAGATAGAAAGTATTTATGGAACGGGACATTATAGGAAAAAGTGATCTTAATAAAAAATCTTCAATAAAACATATTGCCCTCCAGGTCTATTTACATGAAATCACCAAACGTTTCACACATATATAATCGCATTTTAAGCATAGAAAACTCACGATAAAAATTGCTTGGTGCGAAGCAAGTCTTCTTCCTCGGAACTGAGTCAATGTCGGTTTCGTCAATGTTACTTAAATTCGAGTACGTATTATTCAAGACACTATAAATGTGGTCTAAGACCACTCGAGTTCTCAACCAACTTGATTGTGAACACTCCCAGTTACTTACGGCCAACCAGTCGGATGCAGAAATACAGGCTAATCGTGTAAGCTCGACGCGTATAGAGGCTGGTAAGAGACCTTTCTTTTCATACAGATTGGACACAGGACTGAATATACCACCAACGACGACTGTCTGGTGGTCATAATCTATTGGATGGCTATCACTATATTCTTTTTGAGTGAACTGGTTATTCTCCCTAGACAAAACATGAGATTCTTTTGTTGACAAATGCATACTTTCAATTTTATCTCTTGCTAGTTCTAAACAAAAAAAAAGAGTAATAAACAACTGAGTGTTACTGTTAAAAGCATTTCTATGACAGTTAACATGGGGAAAATAGAGAACTCCAACTAACGTCACTTGAAGTCACCAATCCTCATTACAGTTTTCATGAGCTCTGACTCGATCGGTATATATACTTCTTTGGTACGCCAATTAATGAGAAACTGCTGCTCAAGTGGCATTCTTCAGTCTTGGGGTTACCCTTCTAGGTTGAAAAGATTGAGTGTTAGCCTGTACTTGATCAATAAGTTAAATGAAATGATAGCTTTGATGACTTTGAAATGTTTTATAGAAGTCGTTTGATTAACTATCACATCGCGTATTATTTGTCAACACTAAGTGGAGAAAGTGGAAAGGTGGTTCGTTTCTTGAATGGTGCTATAGTACTAAAAAAATGTATGAGACGGGGATTTGTCTGTCTATCCGGATTGGTTGCTTAAAATCCTAGTGACCATAGAACTAAGTGGCTACAGATATCATAAGACATAGCTCAGGATGGAAATCAGTGGGAATGATGTTCTAGTTCCCATTAGACTCACTATGGAATCAAAGAAAATTCCGTTATTTGAAAAAATTACCGATCGTATTTCTTTGGTCTAGATATATTTATCACTATTCTTTATTCTCACCACTTTGAACTATTTATTTGTTAGCTATACGACCATACGGCTCAGTGGTCAAGTTGGTTAGGCGCTTGACGCGAGACTGCTAGGTCCTGGGTCCGAATCTCGCGGGGGGCGAGGTCGTGGATACGCACTGCTGAGGAGTCCCGTACTAGGACGGAACGGCCGTCCAGTGCTTCCAGGTTTCTAACTCCGCCTGTAGCTCTTCCACAGTTACTGCCGGTCCCAAGACCGGGTAAAGGAGGAGGGTTGGGCATGGGGTTAGCGTCCCCATCCCGTAGTTAACTAACTCGCTAAAAAAACGCCTACCGGAAAAATAATTCCAACCATTTTAACTCTGCCCTGGGAGTTAGGTCTTCATTTAGAAGAATTATGACGCTTCATGGTGAAAGCCAAGTTCCTTAGGAAGCCACAAGGCCGATGCCCCTTCTAACAACCAGAGCAAACATTTTTATAGGTACATGGAACGTCCGAACAATGTGGGAGACCGGGAAGACCAGTCAAATAGCAAAGGAAATGAGGACATACAACTTGGAAGTACTGGGCATCAGTTAAACCCACTGAACCCAAGCTGGACAACAAAGGCTAGCTACGGGAGAGATGCTACTATACTCCGGTCACGAAGAGGAAAATGCTCCACACACTCAGGGAGTTGCTCTAATGCTATCCAAAGTAGCACGAAATGCACTTGTAGAATGGGAATCTCACGGATCGAGAATCGTCAAAGCATCATTCAAAACAAAGGAGGGGATCTTAATGAATATTATCCACCTACCAATGATAGCAACGACGACATTAAAGATCAATTCTACTAGGGGCTGCAGTCAATCATAGAGAAATGCCCACACCATTCTAATGGGAGATCTAAATACCAAAGTCGGAATACACAACATCAGATATGAAGATATTATGGGGCGACATGGACTCTGACAGAGAAACAAAAATGGAGAAAGATTTGCAAATCTATGTGCATTCAACGAATTGGTCATAGGAGGCACAATATTTCCACACAAACGCATACACAAGGCTACATGGATCTCGCCGAACCACACTACATAGAACCAGATAGATCATATTTGCATAAACAAAAAATTCCGAAGGACAATGGAAGATGTGAGAACCAGGAGAGGCGCTGACATAGCTTCAGACCACCATCTAGTTGTAGCCAACTTAATACTGAAGCTAAAAAAGAACTGTACAACTGGACAAACAGCATTACAAAGGTTCAATACTGCCTTCAAGATAGATCTCAACAACAGGTTCCAAGCCTTACAAGATCTACTGAAAGAAGAAACTAGTATGGAGGACAACTGGAAAAGTATCAAAGAATCATTAACTACAATGTGTCAAGAGGTTCTGAGCCTAAAGAAACACCATCATAAGGAGTGGATCTCTATAGAAACTCTGGACAAGATCAAAGAAAGGAAGAACAAGAAGGCAGCAATTAACAACAGCCGAACACGAGCAGAGAAAGCCCAAGCACAAGCTGAATACACAGAAGCAAACAAACAAGTGAAGAGGAGCATTAGAGCCGACAAGAAGAAATACGTGAAAGAACTAACAAAGACGGCGGAAAACGCTGCCAGAGAAGGAAATATGAAACAGCTTTACGATACAAAGAAGAAACTATCAGGGAAATACAGTAAACCAGAGAGACCGGTCGAAGACAAAGAAGGCAAGTCAATCACTGAAATTCAACAACAGTGGAACAGATGGGTAGAATACTTCGAGGAACTCCTGAATAGGCCGGCTCCAATGAATCCACCGGACATCGAAGCAGCACAGCAAATGTGAAAACTACAGAAGAATTACACTACTGTCAGTACCAGGCAAGATCTTTAACAGAGTGTTGCTGAACCGGATGAAAGATGTAGTAGACGCCCAACTTCGAGATCAACAAGCTGGATTCAGTAAGGATCGATCGTGCACAGACCAAATTGCAACACTACGGATCATCGTCGAACAATCAGTTGAATGGAACTCGTCACTATACATCAACTTCATTGATTATGAAAAGGCATTTGACAGCGTGGGTAGGAGGACGTTATGGAATTTTCTTCGACACTACGGAGTTCCTGAGAAGATTGTCAATATTATCTGGAACTCATACGACGGACTACAATGCAAAGTCGTGCATGGAGGATAGATGCATTCCAAGTAAGGACCGGAGTCAGACAAGGCTGTCTACTCCCTCCCTCTTTCTTCTGGTGGTCGACTGGATTATGAGAACCTCGACATCTGAAGGAAAACACGGAATACAATGGACAGCTCAGAATTAATTAGACGATTTGGACTTCGCAGATGACCTAGCCCTCCTATCGCATACACACGAACAGATGCAGATAAAGACAACCAGGGTAGCAACAGTCTCTGCATCAGTAGGCCTCAACATACACAAGGGGAAAACCAAGGTCCTCAAATTCAAAGCGGAGAACAGCAATCCAATCACTCATGATGGTGAAACTCTGGAAGATGTAGAATCCTTCACATACCTGGGAAGCATAATCGATGAACAAGGAGGTTCAGATTCAGACGTAAAGACCAGGATTGGCAAAGCAAGGACAGCATTCCTACAGTTGAGGAACATATGGAACTCAAAACAACTTTCAACCAATATCAAAGTGAGAATCTTCAATACCAACGTCAAGGCAGTTCTATTGTATGGAGCTGAAACTTGGAGAACTACAACAACCACCATCAAGAAAGTACAAGTATTTATAAGCAGCTGTCTTCGCAAGATACTCAACATCCATTGGCCGGATATCATCAGCAACAGCCTACTGTGGGAGAGAACAAACCAGCTTCCAGATGAAGAAATTAGGAAAAGACGATGGAAATGGATAGGATATATATTACGCAAATCGTCAAACTGCATCACGAGGCAAGCCCTAACTTGGAATCCTGAAGGGAAGCGGAAAAGAGGAAGGCCAAAGAACACATCACGTTGGATAATAGAAGCAGATATGAAAAGGATGAATAACAACTGGAAGGAGCTAGAAAGGATTGTTTGGGGCAGGGTTGGATGGAGAATGCTGGTGAGCGGCCTATGCTCCTTCACGAGGAGTAACAGGCGTAAGTAGTAGTAAGTATACGACCTTACCTCCACTACATATTCGAGATCTTATCGCTATATCTTGTCCAATGCAGTTATGGTGCCATATTGCACAAAAACTCTTCATAAATAAACTCTATAAGTAAGCTCTCATTGCCAAAATTAACTGATCTAAATTGAAGACAATCTTGTTCAGCAAAAATTGATATGGTAACAGCGAAATATCTGCGCCCTAAATTTTGTAGATAAACATTATTTAAGAATTGCAATATATATGAAACATAGACTCAGATCATTTAGTTGGTTATAATTGACTTTCCGATACCATATAGACAATGATTAAACCCAATTAAAACAGAGCTACGGGATTATTTACATTGAGTTGTGTGTTTAATCGAAGGACCAAGGCACAAAGCTTCTAATGTAACGAAACACGAACATATCCATACCACTTATTATCACAATAACCAAACATATAATGCATTGACTAAAATGAAACAGACATTATTAACTCTGAATAGTCATCTAGGTGAAGTGCAGTAAAAGGTTAATGCTTCATTGTTTTCATTAACTCAATCGCTCAAAAGTCCTTATCAATAAGGCCTTTACTTACATGCGTAATAAACTATTATAGAACACTTTTGCATCAATACACGATGACTTACCCATCATTCGCATGTGCATTACAGTAATTGGATTGAAAGACCCACATGACAGCAGAAACACAGGTTTAATTCTCAGTTGTTTGTTGCACATCAGAGTTTGGTGATTAAATTCAAGAGTTTTTATGGTGAGCCTAACAGCCAACCGAAACTATTTTGTTAACCTTAGAAACATAAAGATTTAGATTTTACTTATTAGTTACATAAAAAGCTAAACATGAATGATTTCTAAAACTTTTAACTAATAAAACTGCATGAAAACTAGGATATGGTTTAGTGGATAGATTTCTTAAGTTTTGTAAAATTTTATACAGAATTTTACAGTCAGTAAAGATGTAATTATCATACTCATTTTGGAAACTACCAAACTGTTAAACAATTGATCCAAACTTTTATTTTTTTGTTCTCATGGTCTTCTTAAACCATATGCTTGCTTTCATGATGTAATGGGTGATTTGTTTGTAAAATTCTAACTTAAAAATGAAATTAACTTTCAGACTTAAACCAAATAAAAAGATCTAAGGCTTAAACTTATGTTTTTAACTTGAGTTTCTGAACCAGGCCTAATATAAATCCATTTTGTATTGCTCGTTTGAATGTTCCCATTGATGTTTACGACTGCAGTTGATCAATCCTTTATTAGCACATGTGCGTATTGCCTCCACCCAACTGACTAGTCCCAAATAAAACGAAGCGCGCGTCCTGTGATTTCACTGCCAGCCACCATGGATCTTTGTTTATAATGCTTATGATTGAGGTTATATCGATGCAATCCGCGATGGATGCATATATATCAATGAGACTAATTAACTGCAGTCCTAAACACCAGTAGGAGGATCCAAACAAACAATGAGAAAATTAATTATGAAGCTGATAGTACACGTTAATGAGTACTTCGGGAACTTGTGACCATTTGTATTATCATTAAGTAAAAAATAAGTGCATTGAACTACTGTTTTACATACAGTATTGAGCGCAGAACAAATTTTCATTTACCTAGACCTTACATAATTTCCTTACAACATACGTTAAAAAGAAAGCAGCCTGACAGTTGTTGCTACCTTGACGTGGTGATCTAGCTTGCCTATGGTGATGAAGCAACCGAGCTATACTGGTTGGAACAACCGTTCCTCAAGGTCCTACCATGCAAGATAGGTTGGTTGAAGAGCGGTAAGTCTAAAAATAAACAAACCCAAGGTTCGAAGGCGAAGTCGTACTGCTGACTGTACAGAGGTGTGACAACAGTAAGGTATTCCCTTCAGACAACCAGCATGACAGCAATGCTGCCTTCCCACAAGGAGGGGTGGGGTTAGAAAAGGTCGATCCTAAAAATGAACACCTCGCCTTATCCCACGGATATTCATCTGCACTCTCTGTCTTCCCTTAAACTAAGAGATTAAAATCGCTTCATATCTTTCTACGAACTGATTCTTTCTTCCTATACTATATCCTTATTGCAATCTTTCTTTTATATATTACCACCTCTGAATTAACTACTTTTATGAATCCGATGTCCATCTTTTGTTAATGAGGTATGACAACTTGGACCGATGCATATATGTGCCTGGTCCTACGTTGTAGCTGACTGACTGAAAAAGAAAGCAGACTTATAAAATATGCCTATTAACTAAACTTTTTGAAAAGTAACGGAACGACGGCAAATAATTTTAAACTCGGGAATATAATGTAATGAAATAGTGAAATTAAAGCTTGCTAAGCATTCAATTGGCAATAGCTCAGTAAAAAAGAGGTAGTACGCAGGTCAGTATTTACTTTTCACTTCCTTCTGAAATTTAAAGTTAGCATTGATAGTTGATGAAGTAGAAATGGGGATCTATGTAGGACTCACTTGGATGGACCGCACTGCATGTAACAAATCCCGCGTTCCTATAATGCCAGGCTTCGCCTTACATGAAGAAACTAGTCTTCGGAAAAGTTCGACAAGCAGTTATCAGAACACAACGTTTCAAAACATAAGGAACAAATTAGGACGTCTTCATGGGGCATATCAAGATGCTCTCACACAAACCAACACATTTCGCAACACAAGAACATCCTTTTTAAGGATAATCATGTACCAGGAATACAAATGTGGACTTATTACTTCTTTTCCAGTCTTTCATATTGAATTCGTCGTTACCAACATTTATTACAGACAATACATACTACACAACCAGTGTTTAAACTCTCTAACTAACTTATTAGCCGGTAGTCCCCAAACAGATTTCGTCTACCTTCTTAAATTTAGATGCTTGAGAAAAGGAGAGAAAGTTAATGGGACAGGAATTTAATGTGATTCACATTTCCTTTTGATTTTATTTATCGTCAAACTGTGAATTCTCAACGCTGTTTCCCTCGCAAAAAATTTCAAAATTTAGGGGAAATTTTAGGGAAAAACCCAGGATTTCCCCAAACTTTGGAGCTTGGGGTGCTACACAGAAAGATAAAAAAGAGAAAATTCGCATAATCTTTCCTTCGCAGACGAAAAAGCAGACATTTGTGCACGTTTACCCATTATTTTCCAACGCATTTTCCTCTTTATTCGCCTTTACTGGTTGCTTGTAGTCTTCAGTCTTCAGTAATAAGGATAGGAGGTCTGTCGACCTATATTAATCCTTGCAGTTTGTAATACAGTGGAGGTCCAATCTCGTTTTGAATATATTAACAGATGGTGCTGATATTACGTGTTCCGGTAGAGAATTCCAGTAATTCACTACTCGGTGCGAGAAACGGAACTCCAGACGTAAACGGTTTGATCTCGGTTTTTGAACTTTCTTCGAATGTCCTCTCAAATGATCGGTTCTAGACGGGAGCAAAAGATAAGACATGTTAATACCAAGGTCATCGTTCAGTATACGATAGGCCAATATTAGATCACCCCTTATTCTACGGTAAGATAACGGAAATAAGTTAAGGTGTCTCAGTCTGTCTTCATAAGATAGGCCAGATAGACCTTGTACCATCTTAGTAGCTCGTCGTTGGACTCTTTCTAGCATATCTGCTTCATATTTGAAACAAGGACACGCTGCTTGAATCCCGTATTCTAAATGTGGTCGCATCTCGAAAAGATAGCAGTGATCCTTACGGAGACAAAACGTTTGTAAGAAACTATAAATATTCATAAAATATCGCGTACTCAGTGAATATGTTTCTTGGCTACTTTATAACCACACTCACTACGTTGAAACAGTTGCATTTAATTTCAAGGCAACACTGCAGGGGTACAGTACGCTGTTGGGGTTGTGAGCACTTGAAGGTCAAACTGTCACAAGATGATTGGTGCGTCACAGCGACAATTCGTGAAGTTTTTCAGAAGCGGTCAAATCAAGACATTTTTAGATTTGAATTGAGTTCAGCCGCACCATGTCTGATAACGTCCATTCTTCAAGTAACGAAGACGATGCCATCGTGGTGATGCATGAAGAATCTTCAATGATATTATGTTTTCTCGAAGCTTTACACGTTAGGACAATTTTGAGACCTATTTGACGTGCTGAGCGCGTCTATTTAAAAGGACAGTGGTATTGTTTCTCGTTGAGTTAATTAACTTTTTTGATCGTAAATTACGCGTCATAACTACTGTTTACACTTTGATTGAATCTACCCCAGTTAAAGTGACATTGTATTGAGTGTTTCGATTTTGCATTTTGTGTATTTATTGCATCAAAGCGTACTTGGTCGACTTTTGCTTGATTTATTTAGTTAAGGTTTGATAATCCTTTTGCACATTCTATTTTGTCACTGTTCTAGTTGATTTTCAAGATTGCCAGATCTGCTCATAAATATGGACAACCATATTGCTTATTTCCCGTGGAGGAAGGGATGCAATGTGATGAGTGTAATAAGTGGTTCGATAAGATGTGCACCCGACTAAGCCCCACTGCATATAAAAGGTGCTCAAAGCCCAACTCTCGTTGGCTTTGTAGATTTTGTTACTCGAGCAAAACATTGCTTATCCAGGAAGCAATTAGTCTCCTGGTGTTGGTTGATACGAAGGTTGATGAGGGTTGTATTGGCAACATTGGTACTGATGGTGAAGATTGCGTTAGTGTCGTAAGTGCTGTCAGGGCGCAAGCCAGGCATCTAACTGTGCAAGCCGCTATTAAACCGTCCACCCCGAAGCAATCAATGAGTGACACCTCATTTGATATTGGTGGCCATGTTGCTACAGAAGCAACCGGTGACCCAGATAAAGCAATTACTGTCCCGAATGGTTCTAATGTGGATGCTACGACTGATGGAATATGGATGACACGGAAACGCAGAAGAGTAGGAAAGACAGCCAAAACTAATGACCGTTTGCTTGATAAGTCCCTGGTGGACTCTCAGACCAATCCGCCAAGTCCAATGGTAAAGCTTTCATCTAACATCGTTGTGAGTCACTCGCTCGACTCCCAGAACTCTGTTTCAATAAAAACTAATCGTAAGATAACAGTAGTTAAAATTCAGGATCTAACGTCATGGTGGAAAGCTGTGAACACAGTTTCAAAAGAAGCGAAACCCCTATTTAGTTTAATTATTTGGAATCTAGAGGAGTCGAAAAACAACGACCCTGCTATAGGACATGCATATGACCTGCAGTTAGTGAAGTCTGTGCTAAGGAATGTACTACCTGAAGAGATTTCAGAGGTACATATTACAAAAGTAATACGACTTGATAAATGGGTTGGAGGCGAGACCCAACCAAGAAGAATCCTGAAGCTGGTTCTGGAGAGTTTTGAAGAAAGTGATATATTATTGAAAAGCGCACTATAAACTCGTGACTGAAATACCCGTATTCGACCAGATTGGCCGCTTGAGGATCAAATCAAGTGAAAGAATGCTCTTACGGGGTTGAGGACTCGCAAATTAAATGGTGAAAATAAGCTTACCATTAAGAGTTTTCGGGTAGTCAGGTCTTGGAAGCCAATGCTTCCGAGGCCTGTATGGGTAGAACGATTGATTGCCAAAACACCTTAAGTGTGTGCTACACGAACGCTCGTAGTCTTAGAAATAAAACGTCCGAGCTAAGTCTAATGGTGGAAGAATTATTCCCCGATATAATCGTTGTTACAGAAACTTGGTTCACAGTAGATATAGACTGTTCTCCTTTCA